TAGGATAGCAGTTCAAAATTGCAGCTTTAATCTTTTTGCGGAAGGCAATGCAATTTTGCCCTTTCCACGGCAATTTTGTGATAATACGCGTTGCAGATTCAAGTTGTGCAGAAGCTACACCTGGGCTAGGTTCAAGAACGCTTGTCATGACTCGCTTGAGTACTTTGAGTGGGTAACCGTTAGAACACAGAATATCCTCTAGCTTAGCAATTTCAGCTGATAATAGTGATGGTGAGCAGATGTTTTTAGCTCTGAAAGTTAATGATCTGATCAAATTGATTTTGTTTCTAGTGTCGCAAAACGAGTCCCAGCGGGTGTAAAGACCTGTGAACGTCGGCTTTCTATATACTGTGGTGAGCAATTCAGTGGAAGAATGCTTAATCAATACATCAAGAAACGGCAATTCTCCATTATTCTCCTCCTCCATTGTAAACTGGAGAGCTGGGTGAAGATTATTTAAACGCTCAGAGAATTCCAATGCCAGTTTCCGGTTGTGAAATGCTGCGAATGTGTCATCCACATAACGCCTATAGAATTGTGGCCAATGACTGTCTGGAATTGTGTTCTCAAAATATCCAACAAAGATATTGGCTAGCACGGGGCCCAAGGGTGAACCCATGGCTACTCCGTCCCTCTGTGCGTACATATTGCCATTGAAACTGAACTGCACGTCTGATGTGGCTTTGAAAAGCAGCTTCTTGAAAAGATCTTGGGGTATTTGCGGGGCTGATATTTCATCATCATGGTATAGCGACTGTATGCAGATATCTATTGTTTCCTTGAGAGGCACGTTTGTAAAGAGGCTGACGACATCGAAAGAGCACAGGAACAGCGATCCAGAGTTCTCTGCCTGCTGCTGGCCAAAGTCCTTTACGTCATGCACGAACTCGAAAGTATCCTTAGTTGCGTGGGCGGAATATTTAATCAGGACTGGCTTTAGTAATTCAGCTAGCCACTTGGCCATTTCGTGTTGGGGAGCATTGATCATGGACAGGATTGGTCTAAGTGGCACGTCTTTCTTATGTATTTTCGGTACGCCATACAGCACAAGTCGGCACGAGCCAACGGGTCGGATCCGGTCGTAATCTATATTGAGTATTTTTCCAGCCTTTTTGTATCGCAATAGGTATGCCTGCAAGGCGCGTTCATCCAGGTAAGTGCGGTCATGCGTTTCCGTCGATCCCAAGAGTTGAAACTTCGATGCATCAGCCAGAATAGCATTCATCTTGTCATTGTAATCACTTCGTTGCATTATCACCACTCCATTCCCTTTGTCCGGCCTGCTGATTATTATATCTGTGTCGTTCTTTATTTTCCTGATGGCTGCCATAATATTATGCTTGTCGTTGAGGGGATAATCGGTTTTATCTGCTTTACTGTTACTAAACTCTTCTGCAAGATTCGCCAACGCTGCTTGGCACGTATCCCTCTTGGCATCACTCACTCGTCGACAAAAGAAGCACATCAAGGTGCTGCGGCTGTTCAAGCTGCAACCGGACTGACAGCTTTATCACGTGTTTGTTCTGGTACTGCATTCCCCTCATGTGTTGTTTCCCGCATTTTTCCACCGCTCCATACATTCTTATGGTAGTGTAGTGTGAACTTGAGGCGCGTAAGAATATTCTTGCTGATTCTCTACCCCCAGTATAAATTCTGGCTTCGTTTTCGTTCTTGCTCATTCCCATGTAACTACTGATGAAAATGGGTGAAAAGCTTTTAGTATTATGAAATTGACAACCTTGTTGTTGTGTGTATATAAATTTTGTTCGCCTACGTCTCTATTTAAATATATATATATATATATACAATGGAAGCGGTCCTCACCAAGAAAACACAATCCGTTGCTACTCCGAGTTTCTTGAGTACTAGCTCCAGTGCACCCCAGCGCTGTTGAGCCCTCTTTGCGGTGGACGGGACCACTTCCCCCTGTATATATATATATATATATACGAACTTAGAAGTTGCGACTTCGGCGGTAATGTCATGAAGTTGGTTGCTCCAACGAGGAGCACACGCTTCTTGCCGAACTTGACACTTGACTGACTCACGACTGCCATCCGGAGCACACCAGGAGCACGTCGCACCTTCCGCTCGGCAAACCTGAAAGAAAGCACCACTCCCTGCTCAATACACAGTGTTTCAGGGAATTCACCCCTCATCATGAGCGACTCTGACTCACGCTGCTACCTGGGGCTTCACGAGGTGTTTGTCGCGCTGGAAACAAAGCGTCTCTGTAAGTTTGTATCCCTGGTGATGGTTTGGCCTGGAGAGCAGTATATAAGTGGTGCTTTTCAGGCACAATCTTCCTCAGCCTACTCAAGCTCGACTGATGAGGGGTGAATTCCCCGAAACACTGTGTATTGAGCAGGGAGTGGTGCTTTCTTTCAGGTTTGCCGAGCGGAAGGTGCGACGTGCTCCTGGTGTGCTCCGGATGGCAGTCGTGAGTCAGTCAAGTGTCAAGTTCAGCAAGAAGCGTGTGCTCCTCGTTGGAGCAACCAACTTTATATATATATATATCAATTTTTTCTTCAGACTTTTCCCGTTTGTCTCTTTCCCTCAAAAGCAGTTAATATTTTATGACTTGGGGCTCCCCGCGTGCTAGTTTGTACGTGAAGTGTGTGGGTACAGTGAGGGCTGCGTCCCACCCGCCTGTGTGGATTCACAGGAAGTGTGAGTTACGAAGTCTGAGGAAAACGTTGAATTGTCTCTGCTTGGATGACGACTACACCATAGCTCAGTGGTTAGAGCATCGCTGGCTACAAGCGAGGGTCCCTGGTTCGAGTCCTGGTGGTGACAGTCAATTTTTTCTTCAGACTTTTCCCGTTTGTCTCTTTTCCTCAAAAGCAGTTAATATATAATATATATATATACACACACACATTATCTATCTCTGTTATTCTCCTGAGTCTGTGTGTCTGTCGTTCTCTCCTGTTTTTTCTTAATGTTTGTCCCTCTCTTTCTTTCTTTCTGGGTCTGATCGTCTTTGTCTGTCTGTCTGTCTCTTTCTCTCTGAGTTCGTGTCTCTGTCTGTCGCTCTTTATGCGCATCCCATTGTTTTTGTCTCTGTCTTTCTGTGTCTGTCTGTCTCTATCTCTGTGCCGGCCACTCTTCTGCACATAATGAAATTGTGTGGCACCACAGACTTGGCTGTATGTTTACCTATGCGTGGGACATTCATACACCCACACACGCACGCACACACACACACACCCAAACATACACGCACACACGTACGCTCGATCATACAAGTACATGTAGTACTGCAGAAGTCACATCAGAGATATAATTAAAAAAAACTCTCTCTCTCTCTCTCTCTCGCTATGCCTGCCGCTGTGCTGTCATGCAGATATTGAAATTGTGTGGCACAGAACACGTACATGACTGTATATTTACCCACGTGTGGGACATTCACGCATGCACACACGCACACACACACACACACATGACCTGCAGCAAATAACATGTCATAGCTACAAGACCTTCAAAGAAAGTCATGGTATCAAGAAGATATACAATTTCACGTAGAAGGATAATTATTGTAAAACAGCTTGCTGTCTAGAGCATTGGAAATATAAATTATTATACAATACATGTAGTAGGGATACTTTTTAGAGAGTCAAACTATAGGATAAATTAATGTGAGCGACCAAAGAGGCGTACATCACATGTCCTGTACCACTATAACCACACACAAACGTCCAGGAGAATTTCACGTACCGATGGATCTATCATGCTGCCGGGATCCCTCATATATCTCATACTGTGGTACATAACCCTCGGAGAATTGCAAGGACCTAAATACGGCAAGCAAATCAGGGACTTTAGGTGCAAGACCCGTTGTTCTAGTTGTCTAGACTGCACGGTGTTCTTGAAAATACTGAGCCTCCACGTTGTATCTGTTAAAGACATGTGGCATCCGTTGATCTCGTTCGAGTAGTAGTAGTAGGCATGCACTGCATTACATTTTGATGAAAGGTTCGATAGCTGATGAATGTGTTTATCATTTGGCTTCCTGTGTGGGTACTGTTTCTGTGGATTGGTTCTGAGGAATGTTCAGATGGTCCAGGCACCTGGCCAATTAATTATGGCAGTCCAAGCTAGTTGAATATCCAGATCACTTTCTCTCATCTGGTCTACACTACATCCGCTTGCATCCATAAGCAATGCAAACGCGTTGTCCATTGCACACTGTGACAGGCATGTAACTTCTGGATGCGATTCTGGGAGAGCGCATACTGGCAGGAGGTGCTGAGACGATCTGCTATAAATGCTCAAATAATCTGTCATCTACCTGCTCCAACTTGGCTGTCCTCCTGACAAGTGAAAACTGCTGGCGTCTTCAGGGCCATAAACACCATTATTGGCATTAATCCAACGCCTCCCTAGGCTAGGCCCTTGCTCCTCATCTCTGCAGCTTCTAACAATAGGTCTGGCACAACGAAAAACTAAACTTGATATTTGGAGCTCTTAGTTCAAGCTGCATTTTCAGAATCAGGAAGTTTCAAATGGCAAGAAACCCAGCTTCTCTTCACCATTGGCATCACGAGCAATGACCATTATCAGCCAGCAATGTTACTAGAGCAAATGCCAAAGGCGCTGGCGTGAACAGAAAGCTTTTCATGCAGCAACGTTTCTTTCTCAGCAAAAACAAATAAAAAGGAAAGGAACAACAAAGGAGCAACACCAGGGATTTGTCCATACCCGGTACAGTGTACCCAGCTGTGTAGTCCCTGGAAAGGCTCTCCCACAGATTCCAGTACAAAGTCAAAGGCCACAGACAAGTGTCCCACTGAGATGCGGTCGCTTGCCCGGACCGCTGGGACGCGGACACCACCGTAAAGCAGCCTGTGACGTTTATTTTTTTATGAAAGAAAATCCGCAAAAATAGATAAGCTTGTCCCTTTAGTCCAACCCCTTCCCAACATACCCCCTCCTTGATACATCCTAATGAGTAAAATGAGTAAAATGAGCCTCATCAAGAAACATCAGACGAAATACACATGCTGATCGGTGCAGACTATATCAACGCGATACTGTACAGCAAGAAAGAAGTTAATGGCGAGACTGTGTGGAACACAGAGATCGGTAATGTAGTATCTGGTCCAGCGTCTGCACCCAGTCGAAACAGTCAGCCGGTGACTGTGTCATGTGTCACAGCCCATATCGACAAACTATGGCAGTTGGATCAACCTCCAGAACCACATCAGCACTTGCCATCTTTCCTGCTATGTCGCCAGGGCGGCGGGTACCAAGTGGGTCTCTTGTGGCGAAATGAGCGTCGCCCAATGGATGACTTTGCTCAAGCTAGAGTCATCGCAACGCGGCTTCTTGAAAAGCTGAACAAGAATGGGAAGCGTGCGCTCTATGATGATGTGCTGATCAGGGAGTACCACGAGCTTGGAGCAATTGAGCTGGAGCCATGTGAGAGCGATGCCGGGTACTATGTACCGCATCATGGTGTATTCCGCAAGCACGCTGCAACCACAACGTTAAGAGTGGTGTTCAATGCCTCGGCGACGGCTCCAGATGGCAAGTCGTTGAACAACATGGTTGACCCTCGACCGTCGCTATTGCCGAGTCTCGCGGGTATGCTTTTAAGGTTCCGTGAATATAAGAGCGCGCTGCAAGCGGACATCCGCAAGGCTTTCTTCAGGGTCAAGGTTAATCCCGACGACCGTACCTGCGTTTCTTGTTGCCCGGTCGAAGCGACAGCGACGAACTGTTAACCTGGAGGCTAACGAAACTGCCATTCGGCGTAAATTGCTCGCCAAACATGCTTACTGCGGTGATTCAGCATCACTTGAAGGAGCTACGTGCGCTGTCTGCACCCAAAGAGCGAGACTGTATTGATCTCTTGCTCACGATTTTTTACGTTGACGATTTGGTCTCTAGTGTCTCAAATGCCCCGCAAGCCAAGAAGATGCAAGAGCTCGGCGTGCGTGTGTTTACAGATGCTGGCATGGAGTTGCGCAAGTGGCGAGGCAACGAAACACCGTTTGATCCAGAGGCCGAGATAAAGTCCTCCGTCTGAAATGGAAAACCAGTGATGACTTGCTCATTATAGCAGCGCTAGGCGAGTCCGATATCACGCCTGTTTGGACCCGGCGATCCCTCCTTAAGTGTGCTGCGTCAGTGTTTGATCCGCTAGGTCTAGCAGCACCGGCAGTTGTGCCGGGAAAGATACTGCTACAGCTAGCCTGGAAAGTCGGAGGTGACTGGGATGATAAGTTTCCTGATGCCATCGCAGCCGCATGTGCGCAATGGTGGCGAGAGTTGGCCGAAGTGGTGAGCATTGACATACCACGTTGGATTTGCTGCAATCTTGACACGCCGATTGCGCTTCATGCCTTCACGGATGCCAGTGAGAAAGCGTTTGGATGTTCTTTGTATGCAGTCGTCAATGGACAGTCGCACTTGGTATTTGCCAAGGCCAAAGTGGCACCGGTGTCTCCGCCCATGTTATCCCGCCTTGAGTTACAAGCACTATGCATAGCGACTCGCTACACTGAGTTTGTGGTGAAGCAGCTATGTGTGACCGTCACGGAAGTCTATGGCTGGACTGACAGTCTCCCTACCGTTTATTGGATCAGTAATCCATCGTACAAATGAAAAACATTTGTGGCTAACCGCGTGAGTCAAGTACAAGAGATATCGAAGAAGGTCGGCATTGTGTGGAACCATTGCCCGGGTCTTCACAACCCAGCAGATTTACCGTCGCGTGGGAGTAGTGCACAGCAGATCCGTAGTCCGTTCTGGATGGGCGGACCAACCTGGATCACGGAGCCCAATGACTGGCCCACCGCATCCTCAACCGCAGCTACAGATGAGTCCAGTGTAGACGTGCGAGTGTTAGCCACCACCTGTAGTCGAGAATCTGATAATGAATGGTGACTCCAATGCAGCAAGTGATCGAGGGCACAGGGCATGGTGACTTGGAGGTTGCAGTTGTTGTGTATCACTGGCCGATTATCTATGTCAGTCCATAACACACAACAAGAGCTTCGGTTGTTATAGCTTGACTCTGGTCAAAGCTACGAGTAAGATCATTTCAAGTAATGAAGTCGATGATAAGAAGAAATTCGGCAGCTCTTTCACCAACCGGAAAGAGCTCTTTGTTTCGGGTGGAAACAGCAGCAACACCATTACGAGCACACTGTAACCAAATATGAATACTACAGAAAAAAGGTGAGTACGGTGCTGGCCCAATTCGGCACTTGCACCCCGAAGAGAAAATACAGAGTACAACAGTACAGTACGCATAGCAGATTTAGGCGCACGATGAGCAAATAAGGAGTTGATTAGATTATTGTGTTGTGAACCCTCTGGTTCTCTAAAGTGTCAGGAACGTACGACCCCACACGGCACGAAGACAACTCGGTCTTCTGGCAGCGGCGGGCAGACTTCTGAGGCAGCCTTAGCCTTGTAGCGGCGGCATGTAACACATCGCTGAGTAATGTTGCGTAGCGCCCGTCGACCACCGATAATCCAGAATTTCTGACGGATGAACGACAAGACTCCTTCTACACCTTGGTGCATCCTTTCAACATGCATTTTCTCCAACAGCAACTCAGTCAGATGATGTTTGCCTAACAGGACTGGGTGCTTGGCTCCATACGCCTACTCGCTGTGCTGAAGTCGTCCCCCGGCTCTGAGCACTCCATGCTCATCCAGAAACGGTGCAAGCTGATACACCTTCGACCCAGGCTTCACTGGTTGACCTTGCTTGATCAGCTCAAGATCCTCAGCGAAACATGCGGCTTGAACGATGCGGTACAATACGTTGTCTGCTGCAAAATAGAGTTCAGCACGAGGCTCAGTGTGCTTCCACTGCAACATCCGAGTCACCATGCCCTGTGCCCTCGACCATTTACTGAATCGGAGCCACCATTCCTTATCAGATTCTCGACTACAGGTGGTGGCTGACACTCGTACTTCTACACTGGACTCATCTGTAGCTGCGGTTGAGGATGCAGTGGGCCAGTCATTGGGCTCCGTGATCCAGGTTGGTCCGCCCCTCCAGAACGGACTACAGATCTGCTGTGCACTACTCCCACGCGACGGTAAATCTGCTGGGTTGTGAAGGCCCGGGCAATGGCTCCGCACAATGCCGACCTTCTTCGATATCTCTTGGACTTGACTGACGCGGTTAGCCACAAATGTTTTCCATTTGTACGATGGATTACTGATCCAATGAACGGTAGTGAGACTGTCAGTCCAGCCATAGACTTGCGTGACGGTCACACGCAGCTCCTTCACCACAAACTCAGCGTAGCGAGCCGCTAGACATACTGCTTGTAACTCAAGGCGGGCTAACGTGGGTGGAGACACGGGTACCACTTTGGCCTTGGCAAATACCAAGTGCGACTGTCCATTGACGACTGCATACAAACAACATCCAAACGCTTTCTCACTGGCATCGGCGAAGGCATGAAGCGCAATCGGCGTGTCAAGATTGCAGCAAATCCAACGTGGTATGTCAATGCTCACCACTTCGGCCAACTCTCCCCACCATTGCGCGCATGCGGCTGCGATGCCATCAGGCAACTTATCATCCCAGTCGCCTCCGACTTTCCAGGCTTGCTGTAGCAGTATCTTTCCCGGCACAACTGCCGGTGCTGCTAGACCTAGCGGATCAAACACTGACGCAACACACTTGAGGAGGGATCGCCGGGTCCAAACAGACGGCCTATCGGACTCGCCTAGCGCTGCTATGCTGAGCAAGTCATCACTGGTTTTCCATTTCAGACCGAGAACTTTATCTCCGGCCTCTGGATCGCACGGGATTTCGTTGCCTCGCCACTTGCGTAACTCCATGCCAGCATCCGTAAGCACACGCACGCTGAACTCTTGCATCTCCTTAGCTTCCGAGGCATTTGAGACACTAGAGACCAAATCGTCAACGTAGAAACTCGTGAGCAAGAGATCAATACGATCTCGCTCTTTGGGTGCAGACAACGCCCGTAGCTCCTTCAAGTGATGCTGAATCACCGCAGTAAGCATGTATGGCGAGCAATTTACGCCAAATGGCAGTTTCGTTAGCCTCCAGGTTAACAGTTCATCGCTGTCGCTTCGACCGGGCCACAAGAAACGCAGGTACGGACGGTCTTCGGGATTACCCGCGACCATGAAGAAAGCCTTGCGGATGTCCGCTTGCAGCGCGCTCTTATATTCACGGAACCGTAATAGCATACCTGCGAGACTCGGCAATAGCGACAGTCCAGGGTCAACCATATCGTTCAACGACTTGCCATCTGGAGCCGTCGCCGAGGCATTGAACACCACTCTTAACTTCGTGGTTGCAGCGTGCTCGCGGAATACACCATGATGCGGTACATAGTACCCGGCATCGCTCTCACATGGCTCCAGCTCAATTGCTTCAAGCTCCCGGTACTCCCTGATCAGCACATCATCATAGATAAGAAATGAGCCGATGTTAGAGGACCCCCCAACCCCCGGAACTCGTCAGCATGAGCAACCAGTGGCCTGGTGTTCACAACAGCTTCTTCTTCCGTCAGCACGGTGTATAGTTGGTCGCTTGTCAGGACTTGCATGCCGAGGGACTTGCGTAGGGAGCGCTTAACAATGCCAACCATACGTTCATAGCAGCCACCCATCCACGGTGCATGCTCACCGATGAATCTCCAGTCGACGCCTTGCTCTCCCATGTAATTCATTAGTTCCGGATCCTTCACCATTCCTCGCCAAGCCTCAGTAAGTGATTTGTCCGCGTGCTTAAATTGGGGAGCGTTATCGGACCAGATGCGTTCCGGCAAACCACGACGCGCAACAAATCTTCCAAATGAATCAATAAAGTCGACGGTGGACATAGTTGGCACAAGTTCCAGGTGGACTGCACGCGTGACTGGGCATGTGTACAGCACACACCAAACCTTCTTGGATACGGACTGTTCCTTGGTGTACATTAGACCGAAGTAGTCGACTCCGCAGAAAGGGTTAAGGAGCTCTGGTGGAAGAGGCGCAAACGGAGGAGTGGCATAGTGGTATCCTTCGACTCTCTTGCACGTGTGGCACTTTCTCAGGATTGACTTCACAGTGCTTCTTCCTTGTGTGATCCAGTACTCCCGGCGGATTCTGCTCAATGTGTGACTTACTCCAGAATGAAGTATCATCTTCTGGAAGTGGGTCACGATTAGTGCCGTTAGTGGTCCTCGATGCCGAAGAAGAGCTGGAAGCCGAGTCTCGATGTTCAATTCGCCATGCTTCAGGCGACCTCCGCACCTGAGGACTCCCTTCTGATCTATGAAGAGGTCTAACTTATGCACGAGGTCGTGCTTGTTGCCGCTTTCGAGAGCCATTAGAACATCAGAGAACTGGTGGCGCTGGGCATATTTCAGCCACAGTGTTATGGCTTCTTGCAATTCGGTTGCGGATAGTGTGGTGTCACTCTGAGTAGTTCGTCCTTGCAATTTCGCAATGAATCGTGCCGACCAAGCTGTCACTCGGGTCAATTTGCTCCATGATAAGAATCTGGATGGATCGATGAAAAAGGGTGTGTATTCTGGCTGAACATCAGCAGTCAAAGTTTCATCTGCTGTAACACATTTTGCAAACTCATCAGGAGTGGGTGTGGTCAACCGTACAGGATCCCCCCCCCCCCCCCCGGAAAGGAAGGTGGGGACCCCTGCAACTCGCAAAGCCAAGTTGACCCATGCCACCACAGGTCGACGTTTCCAGGACATGGCGATTGACCTCTAGAAGGAAGGTCGGCTGGGTTGAGGGCAGTCGGAGTGTGAAAGAACTCAATGGCAGGGTTCTTTCGAATTTCGGTGAGTCAATTCTCAACGAACTGTGGCTGTTTCTTCTTACTACGTATCCATCCGAGGACGCAGGAGGAGTCGGAGTGGACGCAGATATGTGAACTCAACCGTGAGCTGACGCTGAATGAACTCGACAATCCGGACTCCCAGCTGAGTGGCTAGAAGTTCCAAGCGGGGAATTGTGACTGCTTTCATAGGCGCGACTCTCGTCTTGCAGAAGATCAGATCTGACGTGCAGTGCGTATCTCCAATCTTTCGAAGGTAAGCAGGGCGCACACCATGTAGTTGTAGGACGGTGCATGGCCGGGACGTCGGTAGACCTAATACTCACTGTACTTAGCTTCTGGTACTTGACACAGGTGCAGTTAGAAAACATGGGGTCTGGAGTTCTTATTTTTCGAGCTGGGCATGCCGGCATCGGTAAAAATCAAAAAATTAATGGGAAAAAATGGGGGGTGGGTGGGTGGGTCAGAAGCAATTTTGCACGAGGACGGATTTTTTAATTTTTCGAAAATTACGGACGACGTCAATTTCTTGAGTCCGCTTCTTGTGTTGGCTGGTAAAGTCCTCGCCGAACAACAAGTTCCCAGACGGGCCATTTCCCGGAAGCGGCTGGACGGGCACTTGTTGGAGAGCTTCCCAGTCAGTCTTTGCCGCCGCATGACCGAGATGCTATTAGCGTTATCACCCACAAAAGACACTGCGACCTGCAGGAGCTGCGTGATCTCCTTGGCTGGTCGCCCAGCATCCACTGCGGCCCAAGCCGCCGAAACGGGCGCAAACGCGGCACACACCCTAGCTTGGACTGCCGGCATTGCTGTAATAAAATCGGTCTTCCCGCGAAAGCCCAGCGACGGGAGGTCGCGTACAAAATTATCCAGGCGAGGACACTGAGCCTCCTCCATCTCCGGAAATGGACAGAGTTTTTTTCAATTCTGCCTTCTGCTTGGAGATGAGAGACCGCTGGGCATTAGCACGGAGGAAAGCCTCAATATGCGCTGGTGGGTGCCAAGAGTCCTTTGCACCTAAGCGCGACGGGTCAAAGACCTCATCCTCATGGTCACGGTCAGGTGAGGAGCCCGTCCAACTATAGGAGAAAACCTCGCACCAGGAGCACGACCCACTACTAGATCCGGAGTCCGTGGATGAGGACCGGGGGCATCTGCCCAGCGAGCGTCGAGGACAAGGAGAGATGGAAACTCTCCGCCTAGCTCTCTCGGCCAAGGCCCGGGAGGGGACGACATCGCCGGGTCCCGACCCGGACTCACTCGACGAACGACGACGTCGTCGTTGAGATCCATCCCCAGTCCCAGTTCCATGCCCTCGTGCAGAGGGAGCCCTATGGGGTTCCGGTGAAGCCGTTGGAGATCGGTAACGATACCCCAAGCTCTGTGAGCGGGGCTTTATGCGGAAATCCCGTTAAGGGCGCATGTGCGGACTGCCTGCTAGCAGCCCTTTCCAGTCCTCGACGGTGTTCTTGATGGGAAAATGGCGATCAAGAATGGGAACGACCGTGGCCCAACTCTTTGTCGGAAACAAGGACGTGCAAACCTGGGGATTTGTCCCTTTCAAAACGTGCATGGCCATCCTAACCCACAGATTCGTCATCTGAGGCCCGGGGGCTCTCAGTGGCAACCCTGTGTGAATCTAACCTTCAGGGTCTTGAAGGTGGTGTCTGCCGTGTGCCAATTTGTGAGCCGCCAGCAGTGGCGGAAGGACCTGTTTGTATACCGCCGGAGTGAGCGGGTGGACCATTTTGTATGCTGCTGGCGTAGGCGGATGGACCGACTTGTATTCCGCTGGTTTGGGCGGAGGGACCATTTCGTATCCCGCCGGGGGGGAGGGGGGGGGGGCGGATGCAGCTTCTAAAGCCAAACGCACCTCAGGGTGAGCCAACGAAGAAATAAAATCCGAGGGGGGCCCTCATCGTGAAAGCTACTCTAGGGGAAACTGAATCACAAAAGGAAAAGACACGTCAGAGTCACCAACAAAGAGAGAGAAAAAACTTGCAAACCACTCTTTACTGGCAGAGAAAACAAGGCCAATGGAGGCAGGCAGTGGCACAGGGGTTATCCAGGGCAGTGGTTGCTATGGTGTACATACTTGAAGTATGCATTAAATAAATTGTACAATTTTCTGATCACAAGCCATAGCTTGGCTCCACTATTATAATGTGTTAATGGGAGTTGGGATAATTCTCAAAACGGGCATGAGAAAAGTCAATAATTTCTTGAATGGACTCAGATGGAGAGCCAAGGTTTAATTAATTTTCTACAAAAGAGAAAGACCAAGGAAGTACAAGTTACGCCATACTGTGCACAAACACCACCAGTCACTAAACAATCAGCTCATGCGATAACGTTGCACAACACTGACAGACGGTACTGACGTTCTACAACTAACTGGCTAACAGCTCTAGAACATCTTGGATGCTGCTTGTTACCGCTGCTTTTTGTCCATCTAAATTGTCATAGTCGAAGTACAGTGTTGTTTTACTGAGGCATTCGGTTTTTCATGATTCTTGTTCGCATAGCTTCCCTTTTTATTGATCTTTGCATCTTTTGAGCCACACAAGTTGTGTAGAATGTTGCTTCGCGTTCTCGAATCGTGGTTTGACCGTATTGTCCAGTGGTCTTGCCAGTATCGTCATCGACATGCATGAACATCCGCCAACGTCCTTCACAGCTAAGACTTTCAGCTCATGCTTATCTTGGTTGTGCTCACCTTCCCCTCCTTATGTTATGTTTATAACTTAGAACCTTCCAAGTTGGAAGGCTGTTGGTGTGCGCATCCAAGATGTGCTAGAGCTTTTAGCCAGTTAGTTGTAGAGCGTCAGTACCGTCTGTCAGTGTTGTGCAACGTTATCGCATGAGCTGATTGTTTAGTAACTGGTGGTGATAGTGGACAGTATGGCGTAACTTGTAGTTCCTTGGTCGTTCTCTTTTGTACCAGAAAAATTCTTGAACCTGTAAAGTATTCAAAATCAACTGCTGTTCTGGTTTACAGAGCTATGTACAATGTTTATTAAGAGGTCTGTTTTACTTTCTTGTTGATTTATCATTGTTCATTCTACCAGAACAACAGGACATGCCTGGACTCTGCAGTAGCAAATTATCTCAACGGCCAAACTATACCTAGCTTAAGGGCTATTATCCGCCATCTTGAGAGCAAGTACCCAGAGGAGCAGGAGAAGGTAAGCGCAACTTAGAAGAAAAGAAAATACATCAAAGTGAATTTCCCATTCGAAAACTTGCATAACCAATGAGGTACCAATATCACTATCTTTCCCTCCAGACACTTACACATTGTCTCCCTGCTGCAAACACCGCTTTTGATTCACCAAATATTCAGGCTTGGCTCAGTATCAGGTTACCGGTTCAAACTAATGATGGGTTATGCCCAACCATTTAGTGACCCAAATGTGGCGTTCGCAGCAGAAACATTCCTGTGCAATAAAGTATGAATGGCTGCAATGCAGTTTACTAAGACTGCGGAAAGGATGCAATAGTTGCAAATATTAATAGCAATGAGTACACTCAAACTTCTCTTATCCGGACGCCTCAGATACTGGCACACCTCTCTACCGGGCACCTTTAGCTTGAGTTTATATGGCAAAACTGCTTCGAATTTGGGGGTTTGAATTATTTTTCGTGTAAACTACAGTCCGTTTAAAAAAGATTTACAATCCTGGCGATCGCCCTTGGGAGTTTGCCGTCTTACCGTATGAGCGCTCGAGCGCTGCCTGGAAAAACTCACTGTGAACGAAGAAATATTCCGCGCGAAAGCACGAAAAATGACAACTCATGTCGATACTCTGGTCGATACTCTGGTTTACAACAAACGAGTTCTTCCTCGTTTCGATTTGGAGTCAGAGAGGACATGTCGAAAGTGTGGTAAATGTTGATGAGCGGCATGGGTCACCAAATCGTTTCTTTGAGCTGCGATGCAATTATTTACTCTAACCATGTGACGAAAACGACATCGACATAGTCATAATAGACTCATTCCCAACGCCATGACTTGCCAAAGCTATCCGTGTGACTTCGACGACATTTTGAGAAAAGCAGACGCCTGTGAAAGCTGATAGAAGACGGCGTTGACTGCTAAATTCAAATAAATTGGCGATGTTGAAATACTAAAATAATTCTCAAAAAGAAATCGATCGATCGATCGATGTGCCGGTGTATTCAACACGTACATGACATTGTACATGTAGCAACAGTCAAGTGTCAGTCAGTTCTGCAGGAAACGCGAGCTCCAGCAACAAGTCGTTTGGCGCACCCACCTTCTTTGTATTGTACCAACCAGTGTGATCACCAAAAAACAATGAAAAAATGTATTACTTGAAGATTTGTTGGGATTTGAACTCACAACTTCATGGTCAGCAGACAGCATTCATAACCACAAGGCCAAAAAGGAATGGATAAATCGTGGTTTTTGATAACAAAATCGATATTGGCTTCCAGGGCAAATTGTAAACCATGGGAAAAGGCCCGAAACCTGGCCGAAATTCAAACTCCTTAACCGCTGGTCCAATTGTTCCGAAACCTTCACAGAACAATTTGCCGTGCCCTAACAAGCCCTTTTATGTACTTAGTTGTCCAAATTTTCCCTTATCTTCATACTTTTTAAGACCAAAACCTGATTGTAAATCTTTTTGAAGCAGGCTATAGTGTCGGTTTATCACTGCCCACCTGTGTAATTCACTTATTTCATCAAGACATTATATTTTTTATCCTGAATACGGAATGCTTCACGGAAACGTATTTCATTGCGAAGAGCTGCGCTTCGGTCCTCTGAGCTGTGCTGATGAGCTCTAACAGAGCGAAACAGTTGCTGTCCACAGACTTGAGTGTCCTGAATACGTGTAATATGTGCCAAAACACTTCTTCAAAAAGTGGTATAATACATGGTTGACGAGCTGTCCTGAGATAACGGCAAACCTGAGTTACGGGCAGTGACGTTCGAGGACATACAGAATCGCTCACTCCAGCAACAACATTCATTAAGTTAAAAGAGAGCATATCTGAGAAAACCAGAAAATTTGTGCAAGTCGATCTCTCCAATTTTGCTCCAATTTTGCAGGTAAGTTTCCTTTGGGGTGTAGATCGACTGTGCAAATCACGTACCCCGTGACGCCAGAATGCCAGGTCTCGTAGATCACGGTCCAGCAGTTGTTCTGAGTCACCTTGATCAAGTGTATGTGCACTTACAAGGATCGCCTGTTGATATTTAGATTGGATCACTTGCAGTTTTGATGCCCAGCTTAAGAGCACGCTGGTCGCGTTGTAGGCCTTCCAACTGGGACTATCCCTCAACATGCAGGACAAAGAATAGGGTGAGTAGGGGTCAAATCGCGTTGTTAATGACGTAAGAAATCTGTGATATGGGCACGTCACGTACCACATGGAACCAGTGTAGCCTGTGCTGGTCAATTCCAAGCGACCTTCATGGCATGCTCGATGGTCATTCCCTGCTGTTGCAGATCTACATCGAGCATCAGCATGTGAACTAGCAACGGTTCCTGTTGAGCCATGTTCGGGGTGTGCGAGGTTAGTGTGAAATATGCGTACTTGTTCTTACTGCAAGAGGACATATCTCAAAGAAGTCTTGCCAATACAATACTGCTAGCGCTGTAATGATAGTGTCTGCGGGTTCTGATCAGAGCATGCAGGAAATATGATGTGTCTTACCTCCTCCATTATGGTCCGTTCCGAATAGCACATCAGGAACGATCGCGATCGTGTGCATTTTGTCGTGAACTGGAAAGCATTATTCTACATCATGAAGCATGTGATTTCATCATTCCTCTTGCCGTAGAATTCAAAAACAACACGCCAAATAGTCACTTTTTGCATCAAATGTTGCACCGAAAAATGTTGGTGGCGCAAGGAGAAGCTTGTTGTTTCGAGTGACAAGTTATCACCACTACTTTCCTTGTCAGAGTCAACAATACACTTTGTTTTGCAGCTAGTCTACAAAGCCGAAGTGATACGCCTTTCTACACTAAGGCCCTCTTCAGACTAAGTACAAAACAGCCTATAAGTCACATTTACATAGAAGTTTCCAAGACAACAACAAGAATCTGGCGTGAAGCCTAAAAAGCTGCCTACTCGTTTCAGGCAGGGTGGGAACACTTGTAGAAGGCAACTTTCATGCATTTATCATACTGTCTCACTAGGTAGCTGAACAAACGTACAGACTTTGCACCCGGGTAAGAATGCCGGCTGCTTTCACACATCCCAGGTCCATTGCGCAATAGCATAGGATCAAAGGTTGCCTAAATATTGCATGTAAAATGTGTAGTCTGAATGCAGGCTTGGAAAAATGTTGCCTTTTAGGTTTTATGTTATTTTGTACTGGATGTTCTATGTACGTAGTCTGCAGAGGGCCTAACCCAGCACGTGTGTACTTCGGAGCGACAGAGCCAACGTTCAAGACCCAGTACGGAAACCACAAGGACACATTCAACCACGAGCAGAGACGGAAAAGCACCGAACTATCCAAGTATGTCTGGAAATTGACGGAGAGACAGGAAGACTACTCGATCCAGTGGAGTCTTTCAGAACGAGCACAAGCCTACAGCAACATCAGCAAGAGGTGCCAACTTTGCCTCTCGAAGAAGTTCCGATCATAATCGCGGATAGAGAAACATGCCTCAACAAGAGAAGCGAGCTCATCTCGAAGTGTAGACATTCCAACAAATTCTCGCTCGCAAACTACACTGGGGTCACATGATGAGATATGCGGTGTTTTCACACACACACACACACACACACACGCACGCACGCACACACGCACGCCCGCACACACACACACACACAACCACACACACACACATCTCTAACTCTCTCTCTCATGCACACACATGTGCACACTCACTCTTTCACACTCACACCAAACACTGGTATCTGCAATGTAACACATACTACCCAGCTCGTTGGCGTGACACAGCTACCAGTAAAACATACTTAATTCCTGCGTCGGTTCTACATGTTTCTCCCATCTTGGTTATAGCAACAGAGACCAAAAATCTTTCTCGCAACTCCGAGTTACACACACACACACATACACACACACACACACACACACACACACACACACACATACACACACACACACACAATATCTCTCTCTCATGCACCCACATGTACACACTCACTCTTTCACACTCACACCAAACCACATATTGCACGCCATTACCCACACAGGTATCTGCTATGTAACACATACTACCCAGCCCTTTGGCGTGACACACCTACCACTGAAACATACTTTTAACTTCCTACGTCGGTTCTACATGTATCTCCCATCTTGGTTATAGCAATATACCTCAGCCATGACACTTGCATTCATATTACGCACAGTGTATTCCAGCGCTGATGTTACCTCCTCAAGCTTCGTGGTTGCAGCACTGCCTTAGCCTACATTACAATTACCCTATATAACTAGCGAATAGCATTATTATGTTTTATCGTCTGATGAGTGTTTTTTGAAACACAAAACTCGAAGTTGCGAGAAAGGTTTTTGGTCTCTGTTGTTCTGCCTCGTGTGGTATAAGTTCTGCCCTTTTTCAGGTATTGAGCACTATTTGCAGCAAAGACCCCAGACACTTTTTTTGTATGTACTACGTATAAAGTAGTGGTTGCAACTTCGGCGATAATTGTAAGAAAAGGTTTGCTTCCCACACCGGAGCTCGCGCTATTCCGCCGACTTTACTTGACACTTGACTGACTTGACTGACTGAGTCGTGAGTCAGTCAAGTGTCATGTAAATTCGGCGGAATAGCGCCAGCTCCGGTGTGGGGAGCAAACCCTTCCTTACTACGTATACACGTATATTAAGTTAAGGGGGCGTTCGAATTGTCTTCATCAACTGTTCGAACATTTTTTTAAAGAGATTAGTTGAAGCGTCCCATTTGAACGGTTTCTATCATTTTAGAAATTTCATTGGAATTGTCGATGACGTCCGATAAGATCGACCATCTCCACGAACTTGTCGGAAAAATGAATGACAAGTCGAACAAGCCCTAAGTGAATAGCCACAAAGAAAAGTATTTTTTCTGCTCATGCTACCCTCTCCGTGACCGTCTTTCCTGGCACCTCACTTCACTTCAACCATGTTTCTCTACGGACGATTCTCTACCAACCACATGTCCTCTTCCCTATTCCTACTTTCACATAATTATGTCATTGTGTTTCCTGTGTGTTCTATTGGCAATGTAGGTAATGGAAATTGTTCGACATGCCGCTGACAAGAAGACTGCTAATTCTCGCAACCGTCGCTTTCTTCAGGTAATTAGAGAAATCACAAGTTACGAGTTATGACTAACTGTCCACCGATGTAACCAGATAGTTATGTCGTCAGCAAGTGTGACAAAAGAGCACACAACTGACCAGGAGTACTTAGCTGAAAACCTGACAAGGAATGCTCAGCTTCTCCTTCCATGTTTACAATATAAACTTGAACCTCCCAATTTGGGTGGTCTATTAATTTGCGTCGTTGGGTTGTAGTAAAACCGGTACGTCCAATTATCTTACTAGTCTGGTCTTCATCCAGTAACGTTCGGCATTCTTTGTTGCTGTGGGACAGAGCCCGTGCTCATCTTCGCTGCGCTTTCCTTCCCCTCTTTAGATATTTCCTTACCTGAGCCTCCCAAATTGGAATGTTGTTGGTTTACACATCTTAGATGTGTTGGAGTGAGGTGTTAGGTCGTTGAATGTCTGAGTACTCCTTGTCAGTTTTGTGCCCTGTTGTCTCACTTGCTGCCAGTGTATTATCTGGTTGCACTGTGGGACAGTTGGTCATAACTTGTAACATTTGCCCTTTCTTTATTTTTACATGATTACATTGGCTAAACAGTATACTGAGTATTCCAAGCATTCTATACACAAAGGATTTACAGCTACGTTTGTGCTTGTTGTCTTTATGTCTCCTATATCAACTGCTTCTCTTACCATGGCCAGCATAAGCAAACATGTGGACTGTGTTTGTGCATGGGTGACTTGCACTTGCATTGTTGATGGTGCCGCGGGAATGCATTATAATAATAATAATAATAATAATTCCAAGTATCCCATTGCTATGGAGAGTATCGTGACAATTGAAGTCATTCACTGATGTGTTAGGTACCTCGCTCCCGTACCTAATAATTGTTAAAAAGGATGAAGTTTCGTTTTCAATCCGTGCATATGGTAAAAATTCGTCTGTACTTTCAATACGTTTCACAAAGCTATCACCGACTCATTTTTTCGATGTCCACCTCCTTAGTGTTGAAAGTAGCAGGAATCTTCATAGATTCATTTCCTGCTTGTGTTTAATTCAGGCAAGTGCATGTGCGCACTGCATGCCGCTTGCCGAAAGAACCATATAGCATGTGGACAAGCTGGTCTTCTCATTCACATTGTCCGACTTATAAAAAAATTCATCCCCACTTAAGAAATATGCTCCTCACATACTTTACTGTCAAACAGATGAACACTGCCAACTATGGAGCTTTACCATCTTCACAGCTTTTAAAAGAAAAGTTGCCTTCAACACTTATATCCAATAATTGTTATTCTTCACTAAGAAAATGGTGGACATCACACAACCGCATTATAAAGGAAAGGGGGCTTATCAACTGACAACCACTCTATTCAGTTGCTATTCACAATGAGTGGCCCAAAACGTCATAATTTTTCGACTTCACTAATAAACTTCGGATTTTTTCATCCAGCGCACGTCCCGAGTGTGAATAGCCACTGCATAGAGCGGTTGTCAATTGAAAAAACCCTTTTCTTTAAAATTGTTGTTCTTGTGTACGCAGACTTACCTTCAGCTGGAGGAATTTTATTCCGAAGGCCAAGTGGACGCAAACACTCTAGTTGTTCTAGTTAGCGGGGAACAACTTGTTGGGAAGTCCACACTGATCAAGACATTGAGAAAAGAAGGAAACAATGGCACATCAAACGACTCGAAACGAACCCGAGGCATCCAGATGTCCAACTTCACTGATGAGCGTGGTCAGCATTTGCGTATCAAAGATCTCGCTGGGCAGGATGCGTTTTCAGCGACACACGACATTTTCTGCCTATCCACATCAGTACCAAGCCTCGGTCTTGCTGTTGTCAATAGCAAATGGGACGAGAAACTGATTACAACAAGCATAACCACCACAGCTGGTCGGTTTTTGAGCCGGATGCCACCATCAGTAACATCAGGTAAGTGAGATATGTTATCAATTGCGTTTTTGTTAAAAAAAAAGTGTCTGTTGATCCGTATGTCGGCATGTACTGTAGCAGGCATGGAAATTCAGTTGATTGACCAGGGCGGCGCCCTCAGCGCGTACAGAACGCTGCGTGCAGTGCACATATTGATCCGATGCGACCAGCGCGCTGCAGCGCATAAATGCATGTGTGTACCGCTTGTCCATGGCTGCATGGCGAGTGCCCTGGGGCCGCTAGATGTGTGACCGGATTTCCATGTCCACGACAGTACATGCATGAATGAATGATTGGGGTATGTGTTTGATTCTGTATACTGGTGCAGGGAGGGCACTGTGTGTGTGTGTGTGTGCATGCAGGTATGTGTGTGTGTGTATTTGTGTGTGTGTGCGTGTGCATGCAGGTATGTGTGTGTGTGTGTGCGCGTGTGTGTGTGTGCGTGTTATGTGTGTGTTATTTATAGTGGTGTGCACGGGTAGTCGGATATACCCATGCAACCCGTGAGGACCTCGGGTAGACAGGTACGGAATAGTACCTGAAAACCCGAAGTCGCAGATGACATCATGTACAGTGCACATGTACAAATTTATGTAGTACTCCCCATGTCTATCCAGTGTGTAAGGGAAGATGTGCATTGTGGTGTTACGATGGAAACATTACCCAATATGGTGTCCGTGCTACCCGTGTAAAGCTACCCAAACCCGATACCTGAAGAAAAGGCTACCTGACTCAACCCTAGATATCTCTCGGTCCATGGTAAAAGCCTGTGATAAGTCCCTGGGTAGAAACGTTGGTGAAGGTCCAGAACATGTGCGTCAATATGGGCCCGGGAGCGTATGTGGTCCCGGCGTTATTTTGGATACATTAAATCAGACTGATTTTCACATGAACAAACAGTTTTATTCACAAGTGCTGTGCACTACACTGTACACTGTACTAATGAATTGTTACTGCACATCAAGCTGAACATGCACTGCCCCATGTACTGGGTCTTTCCTTTTGTCCATGCGTGTTCACACGGAGGCGGTCTAGAAAATGAGATAAGAGTGTCGACACATGGTACATGGGCGAGTACACGGATAGTGGACATTATACAAATCTTCAAGTTATTCCGAACTTTCCAGAGTTGGACTTTTCATGCTGTGTGTGTGTGCAGTGGTTAACAGTTTAACCACACAGAGCACTATGGTCTGTGCATACAGTTATGTACCACTACCAGTCTACTGGATACCCGCACTATCATGCTACATGAATCACGCGGTACAAGTCCACAGACTTGCCACGTGCACATACATGCCGTCAGGGAAAGTGAGCTTTGTGTTTGAGAAGGAAATTAATTATTTTATTTTTGGGCATGGAATAGACCGCCTCATCTTTGCTGCAACAATGAGTCCACAACTGACAAGTGAGAAAACAGCAAACAGCTTCTGGATCGAAAACGTTCAGATCCTTTATTGTTGAGAGCCTTGAATGGATGAGCCGTGCCCTTGGTTCAAATATTCTGCTCTCTTCTCCAATTGAGCAACGTCCGAAATGTCCATACAATAATTGTCTATGCCCGATGGAGGCCAAGATTTTCGGAAACATTCAGAGAACTCGCATCTGTCTTCTCCATCTCCAGACTTTTCTCTCCAGAGATCTGATAATAGAATCAGCCTGGTCGGCATTAGCTGCTTCTTCTTTGTTTGTCGCAGAAACAGCAGCGCTCACTTCTGACTGGCCTGTGCCGCCACTTCTCCAGTAGATTACCAAGGTTCTCAGCCCGAGACCGAACACATGGAGGTCAGGCATGGTTCCATCCTCACTCACGAGATATATCTTCGAGGCCGCTCATAACACCCTCGTACGTACTATCGGTCGCCAATTCATTTGAAGTAGCATTAGCACAATTGCTTTTTAAAAAACACTCTTTTGACCATTTTTAGCTGCATGCTATGATATTGCAGAGAGTGTGTTGCTTAAAATCACCTTTCCTCAAATCTCCTCACCACAAATTATATTTTTTTGTTTGCGTTTCCCATCTCTTGTTGTTGCAAATACAGACCAGCCGTTCAATGTCATGATCATTGCGACCTTCCGCGACGAGATCAAGAGAGAGGATCATGGAAAACTTGCTGCAAAGCTTGCCACAAGCTATAGTAGTGTCGAGAAGGAGTTTGGTGATAAACTCCACTTTCGAGGACGCTTTGCTATCAATGCCACCGTCAATGACGCAGACTTCGATCGCCTGAGAGTCAAACTTTCTGAGGTCTGCAGAGATATCCTGAGCGTAAGTAAAACTGTAAACCAGATTTCAATTACTACTAGTGGAGAAACTAGGGGATAGTAAAGGGATCAGGAAAGATAAAGTGTGATAGAGAAAGGCAAAGATGGGAAGATGGAGAGAAAGAGGGAGAAAGATAAAGAGATAGATAATGAGAACGAGAAAGAGAAAGAGAAAAGAGCAAGAGAGAAGAGAATGAGAGAAAGAGAGGCAGAAAGAGACGAAGAGAAAGATTGACAGAACGATACAGAGAAAGAGTAAGGGAGACAGAGAGTTAGAGTGGGAGTTAAAGAGAGACGGAGATAGAACTGCAATGCCCAACAGTGCATTAGACAGAGTTTATATTCATTTGTGGTGATCCGCACTTGCACCTCTCCCGTGAATTGTGGATTTGGTTATGAAAGAACTATTCAAACTGGAAGCAACCTTATACAATGTTCCAAGAATGACCTTCACAAAATTATGTGTGGCATAGAAAGTGGCAAGTCGGCATTAGAAAAACATTTCAGTGACCTATCCCTTACATAGGGTACCCGCAGTGTCGTTTATTGTTCTGACAGGCTTTTGAACCTCCGAAACGGGTGGAGTCCTTTCGAAAATAGGCACCAGAACACAACCCCAGCCAGGCCCAGGACCAGGCGCATGACACCGAAGTGTGACAAAGAGAAATAGTTAAAAATATGCGTTGCTCGAAGAAGCCGGCCAGCGACTGCATGCTGTACCAGCACGATGGTGAGGGGTCCACACACAGCCAAAATCAATGCACGTGTGTTAGCAGCGCAGGGGAAAGCAAAAGGGTTTGACATTCGGGTTGTCATTCAGCCGGCTCAAAGTCCTAATCTCAACGTCGATGACTTGGTATTCTTCCACAGCCTGTAGGCAGACTTGTCACTGTGGAGGTCTTCAAGCTCTCAGTTCTCGCAAAGAACTTGGCGATCTCCACGATCAATTTGTGTATTGGCAACTTGTAAAGGCTGCGGAACAAAAAACGAAAGTCAGCGAGGATGTAGACTCGATATCAACATGGACTGAGTCGTCATGAGATTAAGACGAAGAGTGAAGCTGGACTGCTTTGAAACGAGCTGTGTGACGTCTGTAAATAATCAATCTCTCATATGCTGCTGTGTTTTCCACTTTTAAAAGTGTGTTTGTAGCCATGGAATGCTTTTGACTGAACTGTAAATATGCAATGAAGTTTTGCTTACGGAGGAAGTACGTCATTAGTGGATTGGGTTCGTTCTCAGTGACGTATACATACATCATTAACGATAAAAGGTTTAATCATGTTTGTGAACAGAGAGTACTTTACCCACTGTGTTGATGTGCATGTTCAGAAATCTTGCAAGCAACCCAAAGTGCTCGGGCAGGCAGAGGAAGTACTGGCACAACTGCATGACAACATCCGAGAGCCATTCTCAACAAATATGGAGTTCTGTCGACAGTTGTGTGCTGCTAGCCACGTAGAGTATGATGACGATGCAGACAGCATCAACACCGCACAAATCCGTCGATATCGCAAGATCCTCAATGCGTATGGGCTGGTATGTACATACTCTGCAGATTGAGTAATTTCAATTTACTTGCAGTAGATGTATTTCATGTTATGATGTATGTCATGTGTGTCATGTACATCTCTAAGGCAAAAGTGTTTTATCGTCCCTGAAATGAACATCGCTCATTTCTTACTCGGACACCCTCCAGTCCCTATGAAACAAACACAGCTTGCTATGCTGGATGATGAAAATTGCATGCATGTATATGTAGCCATGTACATAATTATGTATAGTATCGGTCGACTTGTGATTTTTTCCCGATATATTGGAAACTGGCACCCTACATTTTTGGTGTCTCCCGCACATAGTTGTAGATATCGTGAAAACAACAGTACATCCTGCATTGTGTGACCCGTGCAATAACTCCTTGCCACATTTGAGGGCAGAAAAGCCCAAGAACAGGGAAATAGAAATTCGGCCAGGTTTACAAATTTTGGAGGGGTATGCATGGCAAAGTATGTGGAGAAACAGATCCCTGACACATATTCTTGAAATTTAAATTGGATTTTTCATCCTCAATTCGGCCCAAATCGAACTTTCAAAAGCCAGTGGGACAGTCTCCAATGAATGGACTGTAGTGTCGGTCGACTTGCGATTTTTGCCCCCCCCCCCACCCCCCTCCAACGAACGATGCTCGTTTCAGGGTCGACAAAAACAACTTTTGCAACGACCCCCTAAAGTGGATTTGTTCTTATCCGTTGGTTTGAAGGAAAGATGCAACCGGTTTGATTTGTTCCTACTTCTTTTAAAGTCCATATCTAGAACATTACGATGCCCATCCTGCCATTAGCTGTAGTTTATTATCTATTATTCATTGGTAGACCAGCTATACACCGATACTAGTAGGTGTAAGGCTGCAGGAAATTCAAGATGAACTGAAAATTGTGGAACAGGTTTAGTGTGTTGCTGTGCACAATATGGCTAGCTGGGGCTTGACAGCAGGGGACATCACCTACAGATTGCTGGCTTTAGGCTGATAAAGAAATTATTGACAACGGGTGCATTGTGCTTTGCACCTTTGATGGATTGATCTTCAACAGTGAGTTTCTATGAGGATGTGCTGCATAGTCCTGCTTTGGGTGGCACCAGAGGGTTGTATATGTGTCCATGAGAAGATACGGCACTGATTTCCGCGCAACTCAAGCCAGGGCATCTCTACCCGTTTCCCATACAATCCATTTCTTTAAAACTTAGGATGGTTCATTTAACAGTTTCGCATTGTCTCTCAATGTGGGGTCAGGCGAAGTGTGCTGTCATGACGCGTCGAGGATTGGCTGGTTGACTTGCTTTGTTTTGTTTTATTTTGGAGGTATTTGGCCTTTTTAATATCCTTCTGCCTGCACATGCGTGTGGAATGTGTGTGCATCCATGTTTTAGGCATGTACCGTGCGTCGGCTTACAACTATGTGTGTTGCTGTGTGTATGGGTTTGCATATCGTGCTTTTGTTTCTAGATTGTTTCTTTCTCATCCCCTGAGCTGGACGACATCATTGTTAACCGACCCAACTGGTTGCTCTCCACGGTCATTGGTCTCATTTTCGCAGAACCTGGCCTTGACGATGAAGATATGCTGCACTTCATAGATGGTGTTGCGAAGGTCCAGGAAGTCCTTGGCAAGCTTAACAGCTGCGAGGGAGCAGAAGGTCAGGGCCCTCTGCTGCTGCAGATGGTGATACAACTAGGTGTGTTGCTGCAGGAGAAAGGAAGGATCCTGGCACCCAGCCGTCTTCCGACCGCTGACAACTGCCTCGGCCCACTGGCCAAGAAAGATTCATCACCTCGGTCGGCGTGCGCAGGAGTCTCTTTCACGACTCAGCACTGCTTCTCCACTGCTCTAGTTATCAGGCTGCAGACAGAGCTGTACGCCTATTTCCACGAGCTTCACGGCATTCCTGCTGAGCTCTGGAAGAATCTGGTGGTAGTGACTCCAGTCCATTCCACAGCCCGTGGTTGCATCTCCGTCACGGACAGCCTGCGCCAAGCTGTCGCTGTTGTCCATGCGCCTGTTGAAGATACGCTAGATGGCTATTGTCTGCTGGCTCTGTTGCGAAAGGTGTTTGATAGGCTAGCAGCACAGTATAGCCCGGGCACTAATTACTCCACGAGCATCCTCAGCTCTGCTTCCATTCGTCAGCACCTCCACGAGCCAAGCACCAAGTTTGATTTCGCTGTGTATGATGCAGCGCAAGTCAGATCGTCCGTAGCAACACAGGGTCATCTCTCCAACACCTACACTTACGTTGATCGTGCCTCACTTCTTCTCGAATGGCCGGTCAACCATGCTTCACTGCTCTCTGCACAGTCCTTCGAGTCCGTCCGAGGAAGCCTTGGTGAGTCCGACCTGCCTGCACTAGCCACCTGCCTGGGCCTTACATCATCATCTTCATCATGTGGGCACAGTAATCATCTACACGCTGCAGCAGCATTGGTCCACAGCTGGGCAGTTACCGACTACCATCACACCTCGACCAAGCTTCACCAGCTGCTAGTGAAATCACCGAACGCCCAGCGCTTTGAAAAGATCTGCAAGGTGCTACAGCAGCATGAAGAACTGGTGAGTATGATCGCCTGTTGCGTACACCCCTCTCTCTCAGTCTCTCTCTCAGTCTCCCTCAGTCTCTCCCTCTCTCACTCTCTCTCTCTCTCTATCTCTCTTTTTCTCTCTCTCTTTCTCTCTCTCTGTCTCAGTCACTCAGTCTCTCTGTCTCTCTCTGCCTCTCTCTCTCTCTCTCTCTCTCTCTCTCTCTCTCTCTCTCTCTCTCTCTCTCTTTCTATCTCTCTCTCTCTCTATCTCTGTCTCTCTCTCGGTCTTTCTGTATCCCCCCCCCCGTCTCAGTCTCTATCTGACTCTCTATGTCTCTCTGTACCCCCCCCCCCCGTCTCAGTCTCTCTCAGTCTCTCTCTGTCTCTGTCTGTCTCTCTGACTGTCTCTGTTGAAGTATGCAAGTTGGTTTACAATTTTACTAACAAAATATCTATCAAAGTAGTGGTTGCGACTTCGGTGATGATTTGTGAGAAAGAGTTTGCTCCCCACACCGGAGCTCGCTCTATTCCGCCGACACTGTGTATTGAGCAGGGAGTGGTGCTTTCTTGCAGGTTTGCCGAGTCGAAGGTTCGATGGACTTCTCGTGTGCTCTGGATGGCAGTCGTGAGTCAGTCAAGTGTCAAGTAAAGTCGGCGGAATAGCGCGAGCTCCAGTGTGGGGAGCAAACCCTTTCTTAAAATATCTATCACTTACCATTACACATTTCACAATGCATTCTCGGTCGTGTTCTGGTCGAGTGCTGGTCGTGTGCTGGTCGTGTGCTGGTCGTGTGCTGGTCGTGTGCTGGCGTGTGCTGGCCGTGTGCTGGTCGTGTGCTGGTCGTGTGCTGGTCGTGTGCTGGTCTTGTGCTGGTCGTGTACTGGTCGTGTGCTGGTTGTGTGCCTCTCGTTGATTTGATTCTCAGTAGTGTGGATGATATGGACACTAGCTGATGTTGATGTGAGGGCCATGTTTGTCGCTTGTTTGTATATTCGTTACTCTCCGCACTGCAGCTGGCCACCGATTTCCCGGACATATTCCGGAAGCGTCGAGTGCAAGCCATCCAGCCGGTCTCCACCGGAGCTACTGCATCCACTGTTCAATCAGACTCTGCAGACAGCGTTCCTTCGGGCAGCCAGTCACACTCTGATCAAGCCAGTCATTCCACTGCCCCTCGCCAAGATGATGCTGGTAAAGCTGAATGTGCTAAATACACCATGTGTGCTCCTTGTATGCTAGTGCTAGAATACTTGTGTGCAAATGTCTACTTCACACTATCTTGCAACACAATTTGATCTATGGGCTTGCTCAGGTCTCAAAGAGAACTCCTGTTTGCATGGGATTCTATACGAAAAAAGAGAATATTTTTCTCTGTGGATAATGAACACATGACTGGTTGGGTATGTGTGTTATGCTAACCTTTATGAGTTTATACCCATTCCTATAATCGAATATTTCTGCACAGAGACATGGATACCTTTCAAATTATGTTTTCTGTTCTTTCCTGTTGAATGTATCAGGCCATGCTGAGCATCACGCTGGTCATGGAAGCTGTGGAATTTTCCTATCCACTTCACCACTGTAAGTTCTACTCATGCATTACTCAACAATGAAGTATAGAACAGTTGAAAAGTCCTAGGTAACATTCAGTGAAAAGTACTGCACCATTTACAACATAATGAGTCAGGCCGGCCCAGTGAGTGAGTTCTCAGACCATGATTGTGCAATGACAGGTATATGTATCATGGTCAAGTCCTGACTTGAAGAGAATTGCTTCAACTGTGCTGTACACCACATCGAGTTCGGAACACGATGTGTGGAAAACAGGGCAACATTGATGCAGAAAATGGGTTTTCACCTTTGCCCATATACAGTAAAACCTGTGACTACCGACCACCCCTTGGTGCCAGCAAAAGCGGTCTTTAGTAACAGGTGGTCTTTAGTTTGCACAGGGTGACCATATATGGATCCTATTTTATGATATGTATATCAAAATGCAGCTAATACAATTCCCCAAGACGTGCGCAATACCATTCTTATTTCAGGTCAACCAACACTTGGATAGAAAGACGGAGAGAGACAGAGAGAGAGACAGAAAGAGAGAAGATTATTTTTTTGCGGACATCAAATTCAGCTCCTACTTCTGAAGCCAGGAGTCAAACGTTCCCTGTGGAAGTTTCGTTTTGCGCTGGGCTTCAAATTTGTTCATGCGATCAATCGTACCGACTGTCCTTGTTGCGACTTCTCGATTGCTTGAACGCGATCCTTCAGCATCAGGACCTTGTGGTGCTACTTTGTTTCTGGATTCCTTGATGCTATCGTCGATTCGTCTGTATGACTAGGGTGACAGAGCCGCTCAGTCTTCCTTTCTCCTCCGAGTAGCATAACATCGATCAGAGAGCGCTTTCGATGCGGGTTTCCTATCATGTTTATTCTTGACATCGCTTGAAATTCTGACAGGTGTAGTGCAGTCCACACCGACTTCACAGTCAAAATGACCTGCGTTCATTTCTTCAGCTGTGGTATCGAAAGATTCCTTTCAGGACAACGGAAAATCATCAAAATTTCAAGAAGGTGCTTCGAGCAACATTTGATTTCATACATCGCGGTCGCTAGTTACGGGTCAAAAATCGTCTTTGGGACAAGAAAAGGCGGTCGTTGGTCGAGTTCAGCAGGTAGTCGCTAGTCACAGTGAATTTTGAATGTGAGACCATCCGTGCCTGGCGAAGTGGTCGGTAGTACCAGGCTGGTCGCTAGTCACGGTGGTCGGTAGTAGCAGGCTGGTCGCTAGTCACGGTGGTCTGTAGTACCAGGCTGGTCGCTAGTCACGGTGGTCTGTAGTACCAGGCTGGTCGCTAGTCACGGTGGTCTGTAGTACCAGGCTGGTCGCTAGTCACGGTGGTCTGTAGTACCAGGCTGGTCGCTAGTCACGGTGCCGGTCTTTACTTACAGGTTTTACTGTATTACATGTACTGTAATTGGTTGATCTGAATTTTCCTCTCCATCCGTAAAGAAGCGGCATCTGACGTCTTTCATGTGGTCTTTTCATGTGGTCTTTTCATGTGGTCTTTCATGTTGTCTTTTCATGTTGTCTTTTCATGTGGTATTTTCATGTGGTCTTTTCATGTGGCGGTGTCATCCCTAGAAACCAGAAAGGTCTTATTGAGCTGTGTAGTTCCCAGATCCTTTTAAAGGGGAAGTCCGGTGAAAAATTTAAATTTCAGGGTCGGTAGAGTTTCGGGCGCTAAGTCGAATGGTGTTGGTCCCACGTGTCTCCGACAAAGCGTTCTCGAGATTTTTCCGTTTGAAAAACTGCGTTTCGGGGGCTGCGCCATGACGTCATGCGGCCAAGCCACACCCTCCGCATCGTCATAGCGTGCAGCTAGGTCAAAAGGAGTGCGTGAGAGCAATAGTGTCAGTAGTATTTCAAATGATTTGGCGACCGAGAGTAGGTGGTGCAAGTGACCCCGAAGACGTAAATCCTTGTGACAGTGTCAGTGAGGATGCAGCCGTGGCTGACCTTCATGAGTTCGGCCTGGGGCTGAGAACATCGGTATTCAGCTGAAGAAATGGCCGCTCGGGCCGGTCAAGAGTGAGCGCTACTGAGTTTCCGACTGATGAAGAAGCAGCAGCAGACGAGGCTGATATAATTATCAGATCGCTGTAGAGCAGAGTCGCAAAAATGGAGAAGAGCGATGCGAGTGCTCTAAATGTTGTTCCATACCGATTCGCTTAGACTCCAGTAGCCTGCCACATGGTGATGTTTTGGTGCGAACAAATTAATACCGTATTATCTCTAATATAAGCACGGTCCTTTATTTTTTCAATGTACCTCCGCCCCGTGCTATTAATGCCAATAATGGAGACGTTCCTTTATTGGAGACTGTTCCATTATTATATCAACCTCATTTCAGAGGCATGTTGCCATGCCAAATTCATGTATGACGCACCCATTTCAGGGTTTTTTTCGTCGATACAGATAATGAATTTACACAGTGTGCTTATAATGGAGACTGAGCACTTTATTTTTTGAATGCCGCCCCAAGGTGTTCTATTATTGGAGACGTGCTATTATTGGAGACTGTGCTTATATTAGAGATAATACGGTACTTGGCATATTTCGGACTACTCAATTGGAGAACAGTGCAGGCTCCTTGACCCACTGGCACGACTCTTCGCTCGCTACGCTACGGGATCTGAAAGTTCTAGGTCCGGGAGCTGTTCGCTGTTTTGTCACTTGTCACGGTTGTGCACTCATCGCTGTAGCATTAAATAATGAGGCGGAAGCGGAAAACTAAAATTTTCTTTCTCAAAGCACAACCACCGGCACCGGCAAGGAAAAACGCACGTTCTCTGACTACATACGACTGATACGAGTGTAGTAGTAGTAGTACATGACAAGTCCGTGTGTTGACTAGTTTTCTGAGTCTTGTGACTCGAGTCTTGTAGTCACCCCAGCACGGCAGTGCGGGAGTAGTTCCGTGTGTGCTCTACAGCTAGCTACTAGTTTTCTGAGTCTTGTGACTCGAGTCTTGTAGTTACCCCAGCACGGCAGTGCGGGAGTAGTTCCGTGTGTGCTCTACAGCTAGCATGCACGCAGCGCATTGCTAGAGCCGTAGAGGCCATGCCATTGCATGCTGCGCCGACGGAAAAAGTCCAACTCGGAAACGGCTAAAATACGGTATAACCTCGAGGTTTACCGAGCTGTAAATCACAGGGTACGTAGTGTTTGTAACACTGAATCGAATGGTCTTGGTCCGAAGAAGCTGCGACAAACGGTTCCCCAATCAAACGCGCTCCGAATATGGCCATTTTGTACACAACTAGATGGTGTGGCTATCTGCTTGCACGCTGTGACGTCATCACCTGGATCTGGGTGATGCGCGCTCAAATTCGCACATGTTCGATTGGGCGTATCTGACGAACCATAGGCCGCAGCCTCCTAGGACAAAGACCACTCGACTCAGCGCCCCGAACTCTACGGACTGTGAAATTTAAATTTTTCACCTGACTTCCCCTTTAAAAACACATTTCCCTATTTGAAGTACATAATCAAATGAAAGTAAAGATTGCAGATGTGCAACACAACTGGCTATGCTATTGTGTTGATAAACACAACCAGTTTAGGAAGTTTTGCTTGTACAAGGCCACCACCATGCCTGAGATACCAGGGTGGCAGATGCAGCACATGACAGCGAGGGTAATTTAGTAACTCTCACTACGAATGCCCCACAAAGTGCAAACCTCGTTAGCTGCATCTATTTTACCTTCACTCCGAATACAGTGTAGTGAGTAGCCAGTTGACAGTGGTTGTCAGAGCAGTTAACTGCATGTAAAGCGGTTCACGCTTGCATCACAGCATTTGTTAAAGGGGAAGTCCGGTGAAAAATTTAAATTTCAGGGTCGGTAGAGTTTCGGCCGCTGAGTCGAATGGTGTTGGTCCCACGTGTCTCCGACAAAGCGTTCTCGAGATATTTCCGTTTGAAAAACTGAGTTTCGGGGGCTGCGCCATGACGTCATGCGGCCGCGCCACACCCTCTGCAACGTCATAGCGTGCAGCTAGGTCAAAAGGAGTGCGTGAAAGCAATAGTGTCAGTGCTATTTCAAATGATTTGGCGACTGATATTAGGTGGTGCAAGCGACCCCGAAGACATGTAACTCCTTGTGAGAGTGAGGATACAGCCATGGCTGACCTTCATGAGTTCGGTCTGGGGCTGAGAACCTCGGTAGTCAGCTGAAGGCCGCGCGGGCCGGTCAAGAGTGAGCGCTACTGAGTTTCCGACTGATGAAGAAGCAGCAGCTATTGCAGACGAGGCTGATGTAATTATCAGATCGCTGGAGAGCAGGGTCGCCAAAATGGAGAAGAGTGATGCGAGTGCTCTAAATGTTGTTCCATACCGATTAGATTCGCTTAGACTCCAGTAGCCTGCCACATGGTGATGTTTTGGTGCGAACTTGGAATATTTCGGACTACTCAATTGGAGAACAGTGCAGGCTCTTTGAACCACGGGCACGACTCTTCGCTCGCAACGCTATGGAATCTGAAAGTTCTAGGCCCGAGAGCTGTTCGCTGTTTTGTCACTTGTCACGGTTGTGCACTCATCGCTGTAGCATAAAATAATGAGGCGCCGCGGGTGCGGAAAACTAAAATTTTCTTTCTCAAACTCAAAGCACAACCACCCGCACCGGCAAGGAGAAACGCACGTTCTCTGCCTACATGACTGTACAATACGACTGATACGTAGTACATGACAAGTCCGTGTGTTGACTAGTTTTCTGAGTCTTGTGTCAGTTGTGACATGAGTTTGTTGACTGCATGCACTACAGTACAGCTAGCTAGATAAGACACTGCACGCACTGCATGCACGCAGTGCAGAGCGCATAGACCATGATGTAGACCATGGTAGACGGGCCAACGGAAAAGTCCAACTCGGAAACGGCTAAAATACGGTATAACCTCCAGGTTTACCGAGCTGAAAATCACAGGGTACGTAGTGTTTGTAACACTGAATCGAATGGTCTTGGTCCGAAGAAGCTGCGATAAACGGTTCCCCAATCGAACGCGCTCCGAATATGGCCATTTTTGTACACAACTAGATGGTGTGGCTACCTGGCTGCACGCTGTGACGTCATCACCTGGATCTGGGTGATGCGCGCTCAAATTCGCACATGTTCGATTGGGCGTATCTGACGAACCATAAGCCGCAGCCTCCTCGGACAAAGACCATTCGACTCAGCGCCCCGAACCCTACGGACTGTGAAATTTAAATTTTTCACCGGACTTCCCCTTTAACACAGTACACGCTCACTGGTGTCAGCACTGGTCTTGAACTCAGAACCTTGGGATTCGCAGGAAAGCCCACAACCACTCCGTTGAGTGCATGAACGGGCGTCCAGCCTAAAGCCTAGTGTAAGGTAAAGTGTGTGAAGAGAACTGCGGGCAGAAGTGTAGGCAGAAGTGTAGGCAGTAGTGTACGCAGTAGTGTAGGCAGTAGTGTAGGCAGTAGTGTAGGCAGTAGTGTAGGCAGTAGTGCAGGCAGTAGTGTAGGCAGTAGTGTAGGCAGTAGTGTAGGCAGTAGTGCGGGCAGTAGTGTAGGCAGAAGTGTAGGCAGTAGTGCAGGCAATAGTGTAGGCAGTAGTGTACGCAGTAGTGCGGGCAGTAGTGTAGGCAGAAGTGTAGGCAGTAGTGTAGGCAGTAGTGTAGGCAGTAGTGTAGGCAGTAGTGCGGGCAGTAGTGTAGGCAGTAGTGTAGCCTGTAGGCAGTAGTGTAGGCAGTAGTGTAGGCAGTAGTGTAGGCAGTAGTGTAGGCAGTAGTGTAGGCAGTAGTGTAGGCAGTAGTGTAGGCAGTAGTGTAGGCAGTAGTGTAGGCAGTAGTGTAGGCAGTAGTGCAGGCAGTAGTGTAGGCAGTAGTGTAGGCAGTAGTGTAGGCAGTAGTGTAGGCAGTAGTGTAGGCAGTAGTGTAGGCAGTAGTGTAGGCAGTAGTGTAGGCAGTAGTGCAGGCAGTAGTGTAGGCAGTAGTGCAGGCAGTAGTGTAGGCAGTAGTGTAGGCAGTAGTGTAGGCAGTAGTGTAGGCAGTAGTGTAGGCAGTAGTGTAGGCAGTAGTGCAGGCAGTAGTGTAGGCAATAGTGTAGGCAGTAGTGTAGGCAGTAGTGTAGGCAGTAGTGTAGGCAGTAGTGTAGGCAGTAGTGCAGGCAGTAGTGTAGGCAGTAGTGTAGGCAGTCGTGTAGGCAGTAGTGTAGGCAGTAGTGCAGGCAGTAGTGTAGGCAGTAGTGTAGGCAGTAGTGTAGGCAGTAGTGTAGGCAGAAGTGTCGGCAGTAGTGTAGGCAGTAGTGTAGGCAGTAGTGTGGGCAGTAGTGTAGGAAGTAGTGTAGGCAGTAGTGTAGGCAGTAGTGTAGGCAGTAGTGTAGGCAGTAGTGTAGGCAGTAGTGTAGGCAGTAGTGTAGGCAGAAGGGTAGGCATTAGTGTAGGTAGAAGTGCAGGCAGTAGTGCGGGCAGAAGTGTAGGCAGTAGTGTAGGCAGTAGTGTAGGCAGTAGTGTAGGCAGTAGTGTAGGCAGTAGTGTAGGCAGAAGTGTAGGCAGTAGTGTAGGCAGTAGTGTAGGCAGTAGTGTGGGCAGTAGTGTAGGCAGTAGTGTAGGCAGTAGTGTAGGCAGTAGTGTAGGCAGTAGTGTAGGCAGTAGTGTAGGCAGTAGTGTAGGCAGTAGTGTAGGCAGTAGTGTAGGCAGAAGGGTAGGCAGTAGTGTAGGTAGAAGTGCAGGCAGTAGTGCGGGCAGAAGTGTAGGCAGTAGTGTAGGCAGTAGTGTAGGCAGTAGTGTAGGCAGTAGTGTAGGCAGTAGTGTAGGCAGTAGTGTAGGCAGTAGTGTAGGCAGTAGTGTAGGCAGTAGTGTAGGCAGTAGTGTAGGCAGTAGTGTAGGCAGTAGTGTAGGCAGTAGTGTAGGCAGTAGTGTAGGCAGAAGTGCAGGCAGTAGTGTAGGCAGTAGTGTAGGCAGTAGTGTAGGCAGTAGTGTAGGCAGTAGTGTAGGCAGAAGGGTAGGCAGTAGTGTAGGTAGAAGTGCAGGCAGTAGTGCGGGCAGAAGTGTAGGCAGTAGTGTAGGCAGTAGTGTAGGCAGTAGTGTAGGCAGTAGTGTAGGCAGTAGTGTAGGCAGTAGTGTAGGCAGTAGTGTAGGCAGTAGTGTAGGCAGTAGTGTAGGCAGTAGTGTAGGCAGTAGTGTAGGCAGTAGTGTAGGCAGTAGTGTAGGCAGTAGTGTAGGCAGTAGTGTAGGCAGTAGTGTAGGCAGAAGTGCAGGCAGTAGTGTAGGCAGTAGTGTAGGCAGTAGTGTAGGCAGTAGTGTAGGCAGTAGTGTAGGCAGTAGTGTAGGCAGTAGTGTAGGCAGTAGTGTAGGCAGAAGGGTTGGCAGTAGTGTAGGTAGAAGTGTAGGCAGAAGTGTAGGCAGACGTGCAGGCAGTAGTGCGGGTAGAAGTGTAAGCAGTAGTGTGGGCAGTAGTGCAGGCAGGACTGAGGAGGGCGGGCTGGACTGATCAGCGTGGGAGGGAGTGTGGGAAGGAGTGCCGTCAGGAGTGTGGGCAGGAGTGTGATCAAGAATGCGAGCAGAGAAGTGAGGGGAGGAGCATGAGCGTGTTCAAAAATGCTGGCAGGAGTGTTGGCAGGAGTGTGGGCAGGAGTGTGATCAGGAATGTGCGCAGAGAAGTGAGGGGAGAGAAGTGTTGGCAGGGAATTGTGGGTAGGGAGTGTGGGCAGAGTGTACACTGTTCTTCTGAAAGGGGGTTTCCTGGGGAAGCTAAGTCCCCTCACACTATGGCCAGTGACTGTGTGGGTGCACTAACCACGGATGGCATAATGTCAGCCAGTAAACACATATCCGTGAACCTGGAGCCATGGTAGAGAAATGTGGGCAGGGGAGTGTGGGCAGGGAGTGTGGGCAAGGGAGTGTGGGCAGGGGAGTGTGGGCAGGGGAGTGCGGGCAGGGGAGTGTGGGCAGGGAGTGTGGGCAGGGAAGTGTGGGCAGGGGAGTGTGGGCAGGGAGTGTGGGCAGGGGTGTGTGGGCAGGATAATGTGGGCAGGGAGTGTGGGCAGGGGGGGGGGTGTGGGCAGGGGAGTGTGGGCAGGGGAGTGTGGGCAGGGGAGTGTAGGCAGAGAAGTGTGGGCAGTGAGTGTGGGCAGGGGGTGTGGGCAAGGGGAGTGTGGGCAGGGGAGTGTGGGCAGGGAGTGTGGGCCTGGAGTGTGGGCAGGGAAGTGTGGGCAGGGGAGTGTGGGCAGAGAAATGTGAGCAGAGAAGGGTGGGCAGGGAGTGTGGCAGGGAGTGTGGGCAGGGGGAGTGTGGGCAGAGTAGTGTGGGCAGCGAGTGTGGGCAGGGGGTGTGGGCAGGGGGAGTGTGGGTGGGGGAGTGTGGGCAGAGAAGTGTGAGCAGGGAGTGTGGGCTGGGAGTGTGGGCAGGGGCAACGTGGGCAAAGTGTGCAGACAGGAGTGTGGGCAGGAGTTTGGGCGTAGGCAAGAGTATGAGCAGGAATGCGTGCAGGAGTGCGGCCAGTAATGTGGGCATCTACATGTGTGTGTGCAAGTATCGAATTGTGTCATGAAATGGTTAGTATGTTCCATGTTTGTTCGTTTTGAATGTGTTCGTGAGTTTGTATGTGTGTGTGTGTGTGTATGTGTGTGTGTATGTGTGTATGTGTGTGTGTGTGTGTGTGTGTGTGTGTGTGTGTGTGTGTGTGTGTGTGTGTGTGTGTGTGTGTGTGTGTGTGTGTGTGTGTATCTACAGCCATGGCATGTGGTCAACAGACGAACGCATTGCAAACCTGTATGAGGAGAATGAAGCGGAGCTCTCTGAACAAACAGGTGCGTTATTCCTTTTAACATAATACTGCTCTCTTTATCCTGTTCTCATCTATCTGCACTCAACTGCCCTTCAATTTGTGTGCTGTTACCATTGTTGTCTTAGTCTGTCTGTATGCTATATACATACACGAAAACATACAAAAATACATACCTTCTTGCTCTACATACACTGGCTTATACTTCATTCCATACGCACCCTCATGCACTTGGCAATCTACATAAGTGGTGGATATTGCTAGATATTCACCGCTTATATTCACCACTTTTCGATACGTACTGTAAAGAGAGCAGTACTCGGTGCTGAGCTTAATTTCTCTTCAGTCAGCGCACCGGAGATGGCGAGTGCCGTAGAAAATTTCTACGTTAACTTCCGCACACAGGACTTTTCTGAGTACAAATTAAATCGGCATGTGACCAGGTGGTGACAAGTCATCAGCCAGCGAACATACAATGTTTTTTACGCTCGGCATGTCCATGGATTGCGGATTGAGTGGCAGGAAAGGAATTTCGTTTGTTCTCAGAAATGTTCTGATTATGGACGTTGGCGTAGAACTTTTCTAGGGCACACAACAGCTCCGGTGCGCTGCCTGAAAAGAAAATATGGGAGGGCACAATCGCTTAGATTGCTGTCTATTAACCGACTCCCGAAAATGATGCTTACAGATTGGTCAAATCTTCTCATCGAAACGGACGATGATTGGCTCACGTAAATCACATGCGTGCTCTCCAAGGTGATTGGCTCGAGCGTGTTCTCCAAGGTGATTGGCTCGAGCGTGTTCTCCAAGGTGATTGGCTCGAGCGTGTTCTCCAAGGTGATTGGCTCGAGCGTGTTCTCCAAGGTCGTCGCGTCCCGCGCCACAGGCACCAGTACGTGTCCACGATCTGTCCTAACAAACTTGAACAAGATTCTGTCAAGAACACAGTCATCGCTCTCCAATTCATTCAAGACAATGCCAGTCGGTAGTGAAGTACAACGACTTACGTTAGTTCTGCGTACATGTACATGTATGACCACCATGACTCGTTTGTTGAGCTGTAGGGATGATACGGTGAATATGGAGAGGCATAAGTCTATTAATAATAGATATTACATATAGACAGACATACAGGCAATAGTAACTGTTTTCTGATGATCGCTTAGTGCGTGAAACTCAGAGTTAAAATACTATCTTTGTCCTTTTATTGTCTGAACCGGCTCTGCCTCTCGGTATTGAGCACTCTCTTGGACAGCCTGGAACATCTCTGTTTTACAGACAGTCATATTCATAAATAGGAACAGCACACTAATTGAAGGACAGTTGACCGCAGATAGATGTGAACCGGATGACGAGAGAAGTCTAGAAATACTGACTGAGAACAGAATTGTTTAAATAGAAAGAAGACAGTATGCACGAGGATTGCAAGGATGGGTCACAATGCAGAACAGCACTGCTTCTTGAAGCATGTGGGACGGTCAGATTAATTTTCATGGACCGCGCCAGGCGGAAAAAATCCTCGCGCCGAAGCACAGTGAGGGTAAAAACCAGGTGCATGTCCCCAATGGTGATTGTATGGCATCATGTAAGCAGGCAAATCACATCATAGGAAAAGTTTGAAAGCAATATTTATGTGCATAGAAATGAAGGTTGGAAGGGCAGGGACACTGATGAGATTCAAACCTGATTGAGGAAGCCAGGAAAAGAAACAACGATAAAAAAAGTCATCAGATGCCATAGTTGCAACCGAAAAATATTGCCCGAGAAATATTTTCCTGCCTACCTCGCTGCTCTTGCCTGTCCAGAAATTATTTTTTTAAACGTCCGGGCTTCGAAAGTGCTTGGCTTATGTTGAGTGGATGAGTCAATAGTGCGTGACTTATCACAATTGTGTGGATTAACAGTCTGTGACTAATCATGAGTAGACAGATCACCAATCTCATTGCACACCTATCCCATAATTATGTGTATGCCTGGTGATGTAAAACAAACTGTATCATCTTGTCTTGAAATATGCTGGAGAAAAGAAAAGCATTGCAAGCACCGTGAATGCAAATACCACGCCAGGTACCTAGTTGTAGAAATCTCGTTGTTGGCAGGTATCTAGGTGTAGACGTGTTGAAGCAATCTCGTTACTGTCAGGTATCTAGGTGTAGAAGTATTGAAGCAATCTCGTTAATGTCAGATGTGAAAACTGTGGCTTCATTCATAGCAAAGTCAACCAGAGTGTTCTGGCAGCATGCATTATGAGGCGAATGCACAACTTAAAAACTTGATGTCGATAAGGACGCGTTCAGCCGATAAAACAAGTCAAGAATAGTATTAGTAAGGCGGACGTTACGAAACAAACAAAAAGAGAATAATATGATGAATCAAAATGCAAAATTTCCTAATCATTTTTCATGACACACTCATCAGGGAAAGCTATTATCTCCTCGTCGCTTATTTAAAGTTGAATGTGCTCAATACACCATGTGTGCTCCTTGTATGCTACTGCTAGTTACTTGTGTGCAAATGTCTACTTCACACTATCTTGCAACACAATTTGATCTATGGGCTTGCTCAGGTCTCAAAGAGAACTTCTGTTTGCATGGGATACTATAAGAAAAAAAGAATATTTTTCTTTGTGGATAATGAACACATGACTGGTTGGGTATGTGTGTTATGCTAACCTTTATGATTTGATACACATTCCTATAATCGAATATTTCTGCATAGAGACATGGATAGTTTCTTAATTCACTTTCTCTACTGTTCAATCAGACTCGGCAGAGAGCGTTCCTTCCGCCAGCCAGTCACACTCTGATCAAGCCAGTCCGTCCACTGCCGCTCGCCAAGATGATGCTGGTAAAATTGAATGTGCTCAATACACCATGTGTGCTCCCTGTATGCTAGTGTTAGTTTACTTGTGTGCAAATGTCCACTTCAAACTATCTTGCAACACAACTTGAGCCTCTAGATCGGAAAAAGAGGTTTTTTCTATTCTTGTTTTGTATTGTATTGGTTTATTTGAATTGGGTATCTCAACACTACAATAAGTACAACTTGGGAACATCCACGCTTATGTCGTTTCACGCAGTACTGAGAAAAATGGCATTTAAAAGTTGTGTGTGTTTTCCGCATAAAGTGATGTACATGTATAACTCACTTTGTGAAACATCTATAACTCTGTGAAACATAACAATTTTAGACCTAGGTGTTTTTACAAAGTGATCTGCTGGGATACAGCAATGCCATGGTATAGATCACTCAAAATGCTCAAAAATGACATAAGCCGCCTTTTTGAATCTAGAGGCACATTTGATTTATGAGCTTGCTCAGGTCTCAAAGAGAACTTCAGTTTGCAGGAGATTCTGTACGAAAAAAAAGAGTCATTGTCTCTGTGGATAGTGAATACATGACTGGTTGGGAATGTGTGTTATGCTTAACTTTTATGAAATGAGTTTATAATTTATACCCATTCCTATAATCAAATTTGTCTGCACAGAGACATGGATAGTTTTTATATTCTGTTTTCTGTTCTTTCCTGTTGAATGTATCAGGCCATGAGCATCACGCTGCTGATGGAAGTTGTTGTACTTTCCTATCCACTTCACCACTGTAAGTTCTACTCATGCATTGCTCTACAATGAAGTATAGAACCGTTGAATCAGTCCTAGGTAAAGTTCAGTGAAATGTACTGCACCATTTCGAACATAATGAGTCAGGCCGGCCCAGTGAGTGAGTTCTCTGACCATGATTGTGCAATGACAGGTATATGTATCATGATGAAGTCCAGACTTGAAGAGGATTGCTTCAACTGTGCTGTACACCACAGTGAGTTGGGAACACGAGTTGTGGAAAACAGGGCAACACTGATGCAGAAAATGGGTTTTCAACTTTGCCCATAAACTGTAATTGGTGAATCTGAGTTTTCCTCTCCATCCGTAAAGAAGCGGCATCTGACGCCTTTTCATGTTGTCTTTTCATGTTGTCCTCTTTCAGACTGAAAGTTTTGTCAGAAATTTCTGACTTTCGAAGGTTCAGCCGAAGCATGGAACGGTGCATCAGCCGCCTTAAACGTGGTAAGTATGTTGCTGCCTATCTATGTAGAATCGAAGACAAAACACGCACCATATTTTCCGGAGTATAATCCGCATCCAGATATCTGTGTCTCTAAATACATTACATTGTTTGTTGTTATTTTAGTTGTTCCTACTTGCTACTTGCTAAGTTCCTATCACCTCTTTACTGTAGCAAATAAAGACTTGGAACCGGACTATATACATTATAACGTAACTTGTAGTCCCTGTCCTTAGACTTGCTGTGGTGTGAGGCCATGAATTGGGAACGTGAATAGGCTACCGACATGTCTCTGAGAAATGCTGTATTTCTTTCTCTTCCCTCCTTGTTCTCCTGTGTGTCCAGAGGACTTTGCCCAAGCCGTTGCAATACTGATTGACCCAGAATACAGCAACGATTTCAAAGACGACATGCAAGACTTTATCGTGAGAAACGACCTTGGCACCACTAACATACCGGATAATATGCAAGGTGTTATCAGGTGGGCCGTGGACCAAGCTGCAACGCGTGAAATCACCCTGGCCGAGTTGAAGAAGATTGCGCTAGACCTGAATCCCGAAAAGAAGAAAAGGATTGAGAAAACATTCCAGTGAGTTAACCAAGAATGACTCATATCATTGTTATACGGTATTTTGGTGACATGGTCCGGGTCGGGGCTAGGGAGAAGGGATAGGGTGATGGGGGGGGGGGGGGTTGTCACCGGTGGTCAAGTTTGTTTGAGAAAGTGATGAACGGTCTGTGCTGGGATCCTGCCTGCACCTTAGCTTGTCGTCTCAGCATTGAACCGCCTTTTTGTTATAGCCAGGTCAAAATAGTAGAGAGGAGGAGGGGGAGGGGGGAGGGGGGGGGCAGGGAAAACAGTTACCCCGTAACCGATTTTCCCATTTTCCAAATAACTGTCTTGCAACGCGAAATGTAACGTAAGAATCGAACGCCTGACTTCACCCCAGACAGATGTGCCTTTATGAACCCTGTACAAATGTAGTACTGACTATCGGCTGCATTTTCATTGAATGGCATGAAGAAACACAGAAATCGGATAATGAGGACGGGCAGCACTTTTTCACTGAAGCGTGAGCAAACAGAGTAGGCGGGGAGGGGGGGGGCTGTGTCCCCCTACCCCTCCCCCCTTTCACTACAACCCTGCGCTTCCGCGGGACCCCAACACCCATGATCAGCGGTCAGATGCAGCTCCTCAACAGGGGGGAGGATAGATGAGAGCCACCAGAGGTCAAAGCCAAAATCCCATTTGCCACAACCATGTTTTCTCAAGCCAGACCACAAGTTTCCAATTCACAGTGAGTCGCACCACGGCTGGGAAAAACTCTTCTGCTTCCAAGGATTACTTGAACTGGCAAAATTATAGATTTCGAATAGAGGGCGGGAACCTAATTTGGAGATGAAACCGTTTTCCCTTCTAAAATCCCCCCTCCCCCTCTGTCTCTGCCTGTCTTTTTATTGCAGAATACCATATCTGTCGGCCTGCTGGTGTGTCTGCGTGTCAATCTCTTACCCTCTCTGCTCCCTTCCCCCCCCCCCCCCCTCTCTCTCTCTCTTTCTCTCTCTCTCTTGTTATTTGTCCCTGGTACAGTGTTGAAACATGGTGAGGCGTCATCTTGAAGCTGCCCTGCCCAGCGGTGGCCTCTATTCGTTCCTGGCTTGACTGTCAACTGTCTATATTCTACTGGTAGTGAGTCGCTCGACAGCAGAACACCTCAAGCATCTGAAGACCATCTTCCATCACTTGGCAGAGTATGGTCTGGTGGTCATTGCAAGCAAGTGTGTCTTCATGCAGCCCTCCGTGACATTCCTGGGTCACAATGTCAAAGCCACTGCCCGCGGTGGCATTGAGACACTGGCAGAGAAGGTCAAGGCCATGGTGGACTACCCTGCTCCAGACACTCACTCTGCTCTCTACCTCGCTTTCTGGGTTTAGTAAATCTCTACCGACGCTTCATCCCGGATTGTGCATGCATTCTTGAGCCGCTCTCGGATTTGTTAGCAGGCCCTCAATCTCCCACGAACCTTTGTCGCGAGCGAACGTAGCAATAAAATACATAAAAATAAATTCGGACTAACTCATTTCTATTTTGCATTACATGACGATGATTAACATTAGTGTTTTCGTGTATACCATGACAATGATTGTGCTCTCTTACTCTCTCTCTTACATTGTGCCTGATTCCACGCTTGGGTTAGCAGAATTCTGGTTCCCTATCTTCATTTCTAAGGATTGACTCCATTCCACTTCAAAGTAGCTTCGGAGGTAGTCTTCGTTTCTCTAGTCTTTGCATTTCGTTCTCAAACAAATTCTTCGTTATGTTTTCGTGCCGTGAGTAAAGTCACGCGCTCTTGATTTGTTTTGCTCGAGCGGGACTTTCCTTTCTTTCTTTTTTTGTTATGCATGACCCTGATAACGTATTGGTATGATGTATATGTGCACGTGATCACTTGCCTCCGTGACTACGTGATCACTAACTACAGCCAGTACTAGGCTAGCTGTAGGCTAGTGCACTTTAGCGATTCGCTCTCCTTACTGCTACTTCTTCTGCGTTTCTATTTTGTGGCTTCACTAGTTCCTTTTTCCACCATTCCACGTCAATGAAAGTTGTGGTCGCCATTTTAATGCATGATCTTTGTGCACAGATGCCTGTAGATGCACCTGCCCTGTTTCCGTTCCATTTGGGTCTTTATTCAGAAAGAAACTTTCCTAATCATTAATGAATGTTTGTAAATTTGTTCCTTGGCTCACCGTCTGAGTTCTTAAAGCTATTATTCATTTTCTGCTGCCCCCGGTTATTTCTTTTATTAGTATTATTACTTTCTTTGCATTCGCTTTCTTGTTATTGGGCAACTTGCCCGTTAGAATCTGCGAAGTAAAATAAACAACAACAACAAATTAATAGATAGGTTCCGGGTATGATTTTCCGTGCCAAACTCCGTATGGACGCTACGGATATTTTCCACGCGTACTTAAGACGATCGGCACGGAGAATCCATGTGGACTGGCTTTCATACGAACCATGGTACCATGTTTCGTATGAAGATTTTGCGTCATCGAATGCCGAAAGATTTTTGTGTACAAATGGGGCACGAGAAACATCGATTTTCCGCGGGAAGTTTTGATTTCGGTACAAATTTTAAAATTAAAATGCAAAGAGTGGGGATATGACGTGTTTGGTATTGTAATCTAGGCAATGCAGGCAAACACATAAGTTCCGTACTGCGGTGCATTTTACTGCTCGAAGACGACTTATAAAAATTCCGTATCGCCTCTACGAATTTTAACACGAAAAATCGTACTCCGGAACCTCTCTAATGTCGTTCATGTCTGTTGGTTGGAGATGCGATGATGTTGCGAGTCCTGACATGAAAATTTGGTGCCAAAACCCCATTGCCTCGACGGAACGAGGGACGTCTGGGTCAGTCAATGCAGAGTCCGACGCCAATAGTGATACTGGTAAGTTGAAAATGGATACGGTCACCCTACCGGTGCAACTGATTTCCGTGAGCTGCTCGCTTCTCGCTCCACATATACTGGCATTAACTACAACACACAGCAACTTGCGGTACGGGGGAGTGCCGGCCAGCGGAGTGAGAGCCTGCGGAAAGAAATACGTAGACACTGCCGGAGCAGAATGTTGGCAGAGCCAAGTATCTACGAGAGAGGATTCAGGGTCGGCCGGGTAGACACTGCCGAAGCAGAATGTTGGCGGAGCCAAGTATCTACAAGAGTCTGCGTCCGAGGGACGGCGACCGAGGGCCCTGAGTAGCCGGAAATGAGCGTGGCCAACACCCCGTTTATTCACTTTATCAAAGCAAATTAGTGATGAGAAATGGGAGGTGGGAGGGTGAAACACTACGAGCAAGCAAGAATGATCGTCGCACAGAACGGATCGAAGATATATAGCAGAGCAAACTCTAGCAAGACATGCAACGATACATGCCACCCACGTTGAGCTACAAGCAAGCGTCATCATAACGCCGCCACACCCATCCACGTTGAGCTACAAGCAAGCGTCATCATAACGCCGCGCATCGGAGGCGAGCGACACGCATGAACGCCACGTAAAGAGACACGTTCAATGTCACGTAGAGAGATGCATTCAATATCATGCAGAGTGCCAAGCCGCACAGAGACCATAGCCAGCAGCAAAACATGAGCATACAGTAGCAGCACTATCAAACATAGCAGCATAGATTGAGCGGTAGCACAAAGCTGCGTGCACCCATTAGTCTGCATTATCACCATAATGCTACATTAACTACAACACACAGCAACTTGCGGTACGGTAGAGTGCCGGCCAGCGGAGTGAGAGGCTACGGAAAGAAATACGTAGACACTGCCGAAACAGAATGTTGGCGGAGCCAAGTATCTACGAGAGAGGATTCAGGGTCGGCAAGGTAGACACTGCCGAAGCAGAATGTTGGCGGAGCCAAGTATCTACAAGTGTCTGCGTCCGAGGGACGGCGACCGAGGGCCCTGAATAGCCGGAAATGAGCGTTGCCCATAATGGCCGGCAATTCCCGCACCGAAGAAGCCACGAGCGCAGTTGTGCAAACAGCAGGGGAGCGAGAGGTCGCCCAGAGTGGAAGGTGAGAAGTAAGGTAGAGGCAATAATGGTTCGTGCATTGACTCAGCACGAAATATAGAATCAATGAGGCCATCGCCAAGAGTCCATGCAACACACACATGAATACAGGGAACATCACGCAATTAAATAGGCCCAATGTGATGAGTCATAGAAACAGACAGCAAGTCCGACGGATCTGTGCAAATGTACCTCAGAACACAGTCACTTTGCCACCTACCCATAGGACGGATTTTCCACACAGGAACGCCGTTTGTAGAAGCCGTTGTCGCCGCACTAATCCTGAAAGAGTGGCCACCATAATCAGCCACATTACTCACCCCGGACAACTGCAGGAGGGCTCTCAGTTTAGCAGTGAAGCGACGGCGAGTCAGCGGTGCGCCTGACTTAAACCGGAACAATGGCTGCAACAATGGCGGCTTACTGCGTGACAAGTACTCGACCATGGCAGCAACGGGACAATATTGTGGCGTTGCTGGCCCCATGTTTAAGATCATGCCTCTGGCAAACGGGTCCGTCTTGGACCGCTTCACAACAAACTGTAACGCGGGCTTATCAACATGGTACGCGATCTTCACACTATCACCGGCAGCATCAAATCTTGGGTCGAAAGTTGCGTGATCGCTTGCAGTAAACTCAGCGCACCGCAGGAAGCTGTGGAACATCAACAGGATTGCGGCTTGCAGCATTACGCGATCGTCTGGAGTAGAAGTCGGGTCATTCCGCAACCGGTCCACAACTGACTGGATCAGATCACTTGTCAGTGGAAGATGAGTCATGGACGGAGCAGTGCCCTTCAATCTCTTAATGCCCTTAAGCACGCGCGGTAGCAGGTTAGCGCCTGTCGTAGGATCATCCATGCCACACTCGAGATGCAGATTACGAACGGCCAAGATGTGATTGGCCACTGTACCTGGCTTCACAGATCTCGCCAAGTAGGCCGCAAAGCTCGATAACATACTGTCTGTCGCCGGCAACGGATCCCATCGGCATAACTGGCAGAACAGCTGGTAGCGTTGTTCTCCATAACGGTATGCTGCCCTGGTAGATGGCGCAATGGCAAGGGACGCGTATCGGGCTGTTTCGCTGCTTAGTCCCAGGAGGGAAGGGGAACTGGCGTGTCCGGGCCCTGTCGAGCCCGCGGGGCGAGCATCCGAAATTCCTGCATTTTTAAACGAGAGAGGGCATCTGCAATTGCATTAGACTTGCCAAGCACATGACGGGCTACGACACAGAAGTTGTGCCTTACACACACAAAGAACAGTTTGCGGATGAGGGCCATCACAGGTGGGGACTTTGACGTGCCCGAAGCCATGCAATCAACCACAGCCTGATTGTCGCAGTGGAATGCTATGCGAAACCGGCACCACATATGTCCCCACGTGGCACACGCGACGAGAATAGGAAACAGTTCCTTGTACTCAATGGACAGGTCTATGGTGTCTTGCTCCCAGCGGCTGTACATCCACCTGCCCTCGTTGGCATAATAGGCACCCCAACCAAGGGTGCCACTAGCATCAGTGTATAGACCTCAGTTGGTACTGGAAGTCTCGGCTTGGTACAGGAAGAACGACTTGCCATTCCAACTAGCTAAGAACTCCTGCCACCACAGAAGGTCCTTACGACAGTCGCTGCTCAAGGTAATGCGGTAATGCCGAGGTACCTTGCTGAACTTAGCGGTGTCCCATAATCTGCGCATAAACGTGCCGCCCGGAACAATCGCCTGCGCAGCAAAAGAGAGCTTGCCCAATAGAGAGACGAACTTTGCTGCGGGGATGGAGCGAGTTGAGCTAGCATCGATGACGAGTTTTATATCGTAGGCCATGATACAGAACCACTTGGGAACGTCAGATTAGTTTTCCTGGACCAAGCCAGCTTGGAAAATACACCTCGCGCAGACGGACGCAGTTGTGAGGGAAAAAAAACGGGTGTATATCCCCAATGGCGATTGGGCATAATTTAGGCATGGCAAGCACATCACGGCAAAAAGTGATAAAAAAGCCAGCAATGATAATATGCACAGAAATGAAGGGTGGGAGGGCAGGGACACTGGTGAGACTCAAATCTGCTGAAGAAGTCAGGAAAAGAAGGGACAATAAAGAACACACCAGATGCCATATTTGCAGCTGAAAATGTTTCGCGAGAAATCATTTCTTGCCTACCTCGCTGCGCTCGGCCGGCGAGAAATACAACTTCAATGCATATTGCGAAATCTGCAACATGAGCAGCACGATGCGGACCGGTTTATTGCCTGGCACATGCCCCTGAATGAGGTACAAGACTTCCTGGTAAGCTTCGAGTGCATTGTCGAACGATTAGAAATCAATACAGGGTACCTCACTTCAAACTCTCCAACTACGGTCTCTTCGCTGCATAAGTTCACTTCACTTCCAAAAATAATAACAATAAATAATATTTGTTGGGAAGGCCGTCGTGGCCATGTGTTTTTTATGATGTATTTACTATTTATTCAATAATTTCCTCAGGATGTGAAATATGAAATGTCTCAGAAATTCAGATTATTTTGGAACGCAATTTCGCGTACATGTAGTGATTTAGCCTACAGTTAGTTCACGAGTTATTTCGTAGGTTGTTTGTTTCTTGCGTTGCACAATGCAAGACAAGAATTTGCACAACGGCACAAGAGTATTGACGTTGACTCTCAAAATGATTCTCGGTCGCATTTTGTTTGTTTCTTCTAAGTTTTGACAAAGGGACATCTATTTTCGTTTTGTCTTTTCTCGCAGTGTTTCCTTTCATTTCTAAGCCGCGACGCCGTCGCGTACTGCGTTACGACGGGTCACGTGCTGCCAACCTACTGCATTCTTTATTCACCAGTTTTCACGGCTACACTGCATGCATTGTATAATGACTCATAATTATTTTTTGCTCTGCGCTGAATCACGTACTAGTGTAGGACTTTTTCAGAGTTTGCTCTCGATGAGGCTCGGCAAGTTCGGTTCTTCGAAAGGAAGAGAGAAAGGGTTGTCTTTTGTTGTTTGCCAAATCTATTTTACTACCACGAAGTTTTCCCGTTGCGTGTGAGAACCTGCATGACAATATTAGATATAAATGGAATGCACCAAATTTTCGGTCATGGCCCATCTTCAGGGTGAAAAACCATTCAACTAAAGCCAACAAAAACTGGAACGAGTAGATGTGCTGTGTGTTGCGGTAGTGCTGGAAATGTTTGTATGTGTGGAGGGTAGCAGCAATGGCGAAAGCTGTCGGGCGAAAGGAAGGGAAAGCACGAGAAGTGCGGTTACCAGCAGCAATGGTGAAGTGTGTTGGTAGAAAGGGAAGGAGCGAAGGAGACAAGTGGAAAGCTGTGTCTGCAAGTGTGAATATGTGTTAGTGCGATATGGAGATTAGAATGCAAAGTATGCAATGTAGCTGGAGCCAAGACAAAGATGACGACAAATATTTGCTAAGCACTATAATAATCAGCTAGCACACATAAACATCAAAATATTATCGTGCTATATATTCGCAACATCACAGTCTACCACAATTTACAACACCAAGATCTAACACAATAATTTCACACTGTGTCCAGCAGTTTCCAACCACAATCCCCGTTAACACTTGGACGTCTATCACGAATGAACATTGCTTCATGTATTCGACGATTCACAAGGGACGGCTGTTTGGCGGGAATTGATGGGTGTAGATGTGATTGAAGATATGTCATTTATGAATATGTCCATAATATGAATATTGCAGCCTGAGTGATAATGATAGTGCTATTTCCTGAGTTTGACTATCATTATCACTCAGGCTGCAATATTCATATTATGGACATATTCATAAATGACATATCTTCAATACCCATGAGCTACATTGTATATAATATATATGATATAAGTATCATAATTATTATTATCATCGTTCTAGCTCATTTTTTCCCCTGTCATAGTCCTGTTTATCATGTTCAGCATAAGCGAAGTTGTGGATCATGCTTGCATGGTTGACTCCAACGCGTACATGCAAGTAATAATAATAATAAGATGTGATTGCTTGTTGTGGGTGGTGTTCTGCATAGTGTTCTCCCAATGGCGTCTCCAGCGCTTACGCTTTCGCCTTTCTCCAATGTTCTTCATAAAAAGGTGTTTGTGGCTTTAGTTGAATGGTTTTTCACCCTGAAGATGGGCCATGCCCAAAAATTGGTCCATTCCATTTATATCTAATATTATTATTATTAAGTAGTGGTTGCGACTTCGGCGATGATTTGTAAGAAAGCAAACCCTTTCTTATTATTATTATTATTATTATTATTATTATTATTTATTATTATTATTTTTGGAAGTGAAGTGAACTTATGCAGCGAAGAGACCGTAGTTGGAGAGTTTGAAGTGAGGTACCCTGTAATGTGTGAGTGGCTGAAATGGAGTCTGCGAGTGCTTAGAAAAATTTGAAATCAAATTGGATCAATTTTCAAAATGGTGATGCTCAATTGCCCGCACTCACAAAGAGACAACGTGCCCAAGTGGAATCACTTACACTTGAGATCAATGCAATGACATTCTTAGTAGAATCAGTGGTCTGTAGAATACGAAAATTAAAACAAGTGGCAGTCAGACACAAGAAGCAAATGGCAATGGCTAAATCCCCATTGCCAGCGGAGGATCCGGATGGCATTCTTTGTCAATCTGCAACACAAAACTACACAATATTTATCGGATGCCAACCACACACTTACCACAAATACTCCTGGGCGTTCCGACACACGACCCAAGGCGCATCACGATAGGCCTTGACAGATTATGCTAGCATAATTCCTAACAACATCGAATAACCGCATTATTCGAGGCAAATTGCATACGAATCGCATAAAATTGGAATAACCCGCCTGTTCGCATCAAATTCCATACAGTTGTACATGTTCTACAAGTACAAGTACAAGTAGATGCACCAGGAATTCGTAGGTTTACGACTCCCTTGATATCATGTCCAGTGCACTACAATCAGTGACGGTCGTAGCTAGGTCGGACGGTGCGTTGACACCCCTGAACTTTTGCTACTACAGTACAACGCCCTCTACAAAAAAATTCCCCTGTTATTTTGCACAGAACCATTATACATTAGCAGCATATGTGAGCATAATGCGGCATAGTATGATAACTTTTAGCATAAAATGGCATAATTCTGCAATTTTTTAAGCAATGCGAAAAGCATAATTTCACGAAAATATTAGCATAATCTGTCAAGGCCTACATCACGAACGGTTACCAAACTCATCTGTACTTCAGTTTGCTGAAGACGTTAACATGTATGCACCTGGTGACACTATAGGGCTTGAAAGTGATGACGTCAAAATGGCCAGGGAGTAGTAAGTTGACATCAGATTTCTATTTTTGGATCCACTAAGGTGTGACTTTGCTATTGCCTAAGTATGTGGGTGCATAGCAACCCACTCATGTCGCATGCAGGTGTGACTTTGATTTCGCCACCAGTTGTAACCCCGCCCCCAGTAGCCAAATCAGTCAGTTTCACTGGCTACATCACCATGCTGTGGGTAAGACCGCTTGAAATGTGCTTGGATCCATACAAAAACTGGATCCAAGTGGATCCAGTTTTTGAATTTTTGAAATTGTTGCTATGCTGTGACGTAGCACTTTCAAGCCCTATTGAAGAAGTCGTGGACAAATTGAACGGTGATTTTATGAAGTTATCGGATTATCTGAAAGGAAAGCGAATAAAACTAAATTCTGCTCCCAGGTTTTTGGCAACAATCGGCTACGAGCATTATCATGAGATGTTGTCTGATGATGATTGGTTTTTGCCATGAAACTCTGAGTAACAACGAAACAGCCCTATTTTACTCCTTTTGTGTCCCTCTTGCGTACTACGCTACACCCATTCCGGGCATTTGAGCACTATGCATTGAACAGGCGCATGATTTTGTGATTGTGTAGACACGTAATACTTTTAGCACAAACGCTACATAACTATCGCTACA